TATCTGCATGTCTTATTACTGTAATGGCCTTGTCTAAATTCATCTCGGGATCTAGCAACAAGCGATCACTAAGTTTCTCATCATTTAAACCCAGTATTAGTACCATCAACACCATTTCATCATTAAGTGAACCCCAGTCACAGGTTCTAGCCAAGGAATGGAGACTAACTATAAACTCTTCAACTGTTTCATTAATTTTTTGTTGTCTCTTCAAAAACTTTGCTCTTTCAAAAATTAAGTTCCTCCGTGGAATAAAATGTTTGTCAAATAAATCTAAGACTTCTTCAAATGTTAGCGTTGATTCGGTTGCTAAATTAAAAGATGCAAAAATCTCATCAGCTTTCTCACCTAATGTGTATATAAGAGTATTGATTTGTTTGTTCTCTGACTCTTCAGATAGCCCAGATGCTGACCGATATCTTTGAAATCGTGTTTTCCATCTTGGCCAATCTGCTGGTACAAAGGAGAAACTAGCTGGATGTTGAATAACTGAATGAGTGTTTGATACAATGATTGACTTCTTAGTTGAATTGTTGTATTCATTTTCTCTGCTTCTTTCATTTTCATCATCTTCATAGTCAGATTGTTTCCTTCTTGGATTTCTCTTCTGAGGCATAGCTCTAAACCGCTGCCACCATGTACTATTTTACTAAGAATTAAGTGAATGCACTGTTTTATGTCATAACTCAAACTCAACTAACTTTATTTACCTTTTTACAAACATAGAATAACAAATAAACATATGATAATAATTAATAGAAATTAACAGGTGTTATGAAATAAACTGTTCTCACAACAGATATGTTAAACTTTATTTAGTGTTTTTGTCAGTGACAATGGAATGATATATGTGGATTCCAAAGTATCGATGCACACCCTTACTTCATTTATGTAAGTAAACATTTATTTTAGGTTCAAGTGAACTAATTTCAGATTTTGTATGACAATTCATTCGGATAACTCATAATAACAATATTTATCCTTTGAAATAAAAATTAATTAAATTTTTTTTGAGATGTAACTAACAGTAAAATTTACTGGATTTGCGTTTTTTTTTATGTAAATTTTTATGTGGTTGAAGTAAGGTTCCCAAATTTGTATGTGTTGCTAATTATTGATTGTACTTTTGAAAAAAATAATGGAGCACTAGATTTTATATACGAACCACAATTTATAATCTAAAAAAAAATTATGTACATAAGATATTTATTTATTTATTAAAAATACATCACACAACGCCCAAGGAGTGCTTCTGCATGAAGGCTTGCATGTAAATTGTCAAAAGATACATTGTGTACTAGTATAGAATAAAAACAACTAGTATAAAACAAGTTAGGTTATTAGCAAAATTTACAAAGTTATGTCAATGCCAATAAGTTATGCCTACTACAATCAGACTGATAAAAAGTCCTCAATGCTGTAAAAACAGTTGTCTAACTAACAGGTAAGACAGTAAGTGTAACCGGAACTTTTTAAATGATTCCTCTCTCCTCTTTCCCACCTCTTTCAGTGATAAAGGAAGCTTATTATATAGTTTGAGACCCATATAAAAAGTGCTCTTTTCATAAGCAGCAGATTTATGTATGGGGTATTGCAAAACAGAGCTCATGGGCCTAAAAGCTGAATAGGGAGTTAGTTTTTTTCCTTTAAAAATAGAAAAATGTTTTTTGACAAAGTTTAAAGTGTGGAATATATACTAAAAGGGCACAGGTAAAATCTTCACCCTTTTAAACACTCTTTTGTATTTTAAATAGTATTTTACTATCTGTGGCATTTCCCCAGAACTCAATACAGTAGTCAATACCATAGCCATGTTAGAGTGTACGTATGCAAAGTATACCATTATCTGAGTTTTTTCATCTATTATTTTTAGAAAGCACCAAAGTTAAGTGAAATGCTGCATTAAGCTTTGATTCCAATTTTTATATGATCAGACCATGTTAGAGCTGAGTCTGATTTTATTCCCAAAAGGTTGCAAGATTGAATTTGACTTAATATGCCTTCTAACGGGTTATAGTCAATCTGTCTACTTTTTATGCTGTTAGAATGGAAGTTCACTCAATATGTTTTATTTCTGTTGCGTTTAAGATTATTGGCCAGAAACCATTTAGTCTTAAGATCAAGATCATTTTTAATTTCAATTTTTTAAATGTCAGGGTCTATTTTTTAATACTGCAGTAGTATCATCAGCATATATTACCAATTTTGAATTAAGAGTTTGTTTCAAGAGATCATCAATATAAATAAGAAACAACAACGGACCCATATTATTGAACCCTGGGGAACACCTTAAGTGACATTTTTGTAGTTTGAATAGATTCAACCTAGTGCAGGAAGTGTATTTATTGATATACCTTTTCCTTAACATTTTTTTACAGTTTTATGTTTTATTTACTTGAACCATACTGTAAGTTATAAAACAAAAAATATTTAGGCTTTTATCTTAATATTGAAAAAAGATATAAGGTTTTTAATAAAATACTGCAAAACTGCCAATGTGAGCCCGGCACTCAAGGGTTACTACTTATTAAAAACACCGGCACTCAAGAGACATTTCTTAAAAAAAAAAACCTCGGCACTCAAAGGGTTAAGCGCTGTAAATTATGCGTCGATTGGTGCAAGATGTCTATCGTAGAATGAGCTGAGCCGTTTAGCCGCAGTAGCTTGATTTTTTACATGTGCTTGTTAGGTGAGTTAGGTGCATGAAGTTGAGAAGTTCTTGTGAAGCGGGTGGATTAGTTGAGGTGATGGTAGCCAACCCATTAGTGGTAATTTTCTATCTCAATCTCTCTGGATTTAGTGTATTACTAATCCAAAGCTGGACTTGTAAATAAGCTTTAAAGGAGTGCTGAGGAGCAGCCCCTTCTGTAGGAGGCAAGATCGCCAAGTCAAAATTAGTTTTTACAGCAACCTCTGGAAGAGGTCATACCTCACTTCAGATTTGCTGTTCTCACCCGTGTAAAGAGTTTTCATTGAGTCAACGCCTGCTGTCACAACTTTGTCAGGAGTTGTAATCCATCAAAACACCACGGAAGATCCACTTTGATTGGAGTAAACAGATTGAACAGTTCAGATTTATGCTCTTCCACATCATGCAGTCGCTTGGGTACGGAGCTATTTCGAATACAAAGTATGATTCAAGCTGAGGCTTGGATTTCATGTGGACTGGGATGCGGTGTAAAGTTGTTTACAGACTGATAGGGGCAGATTCTTCATTGAACTTTGCTGTTGTCTTCACAGCTTGTAAGGTCACTACATAGTTTTTTCTACACTGTTTAAAACTGCCTTTCAACGGCATTTCATATAATTAAGGTTAAGCTGTGCCCTTTTATATGCTTTGTAGCAGTTGATACTATAATTTGCGATAACTCTTGTGCTGATGGACATCAGGAAACTCATTTCAGTAAATGGGTGATGGAACTGATACCATTTGCTGAATTTATGCTAATCATTAACATCCCTCTGTTCCTTGGAGTTTTTCGTGTCAACATGCTGATGAGATATTGAAGAGGTGATCTAAACATGGCCCTCATTTTGATGGTTTTGATGCAAACCCTCCACTGCAATGGGCATGCCAGCGATCCATCAGGTTAGAGTCCCATTATTGATTTCCCTTCCACAAGATTCCCCTCGACAAGAAGATATGGCTCCAATGAGCACTTACTAGAACAATGGTCATATCTAGCCATGATGGTTAAAATAGCCCAACTTTTAAGAGCTCCTGCAGCTAAACGGCTTATTCGATTTCGGTGTATTTAACACCAATCAAGGTATAATTTACTGAGCTCAAAGAAACAACTGGCCAAAAATTTCCGTAGGATGTGTCATTTAGAAGTTGAAGCAAAAACCTGGAAAAGTGCAACAAATTTTTTTTCTACTTCCAAAACTTAAGCAGATAACAGAATCGGCCGCAAACTTACAGGACTCTTATTCTGGACCCAAAAAAGGTATTAAACCACTTTCCACCTTTATTCGTTAAGCACAGCCTTCTTTTGTATAATTTACCTGGACTATTGGTATTTTAGATACTTTTTTTAACAAAATTAAAAAAACTTACATGATAAATAGAATAATTAATAATATCTTGATTCTACATAGAATGGAAGAGTTATTTTCTAAGTTGAAGCCAGGAATTGATAAAGATAGTAAGTGTAATCGGTTCAAGAGAATAATTTGTAAAGTGATAGTTTAAGAAAGTCTACTGTCTAGCAAAAAGTTCTACTTTCACAGAGTAACTGCTTATCTACAGGGCTCTTCTAACAAACATCTACCTACTGAGAAAATGTCTGTTGTTTCATCTTTCTATCTATATCGTTTAAAAATATAAAATTGACATAAACTACAAAATAAGACTTTGTGAAAACTTAAATACCCTCCGACCCCTGATATTCCCCAAGTTTATATCCAAGCTAAGTGTATCAAACTTGTTAAACAAAATACATAAACACTATTCGCCTCATACCAGGCAGATGTTAGTTTTATGAGTTGAGTATTGTACCTAATAATGTGAGTTAGAACAATGTTGTAGTAATACGTATAGCCTATTTTGACTTGTTTTAATTTGCCTAAAACATAGGCTGTTTATGTAATAGATAAATTTTTGTAGACTTTTTTCTATTGCATTTTTTTGTAAATGTTGAAGGACAATAAAAAGTTTCTGATTTCTGTAGGTGTTTGAAAATTTTCATTTAAGCCTGTCTTTAAATCGAAAAATATTTAAGATCTGATGATTTGATTGTGGGTTCTGATTCGCTGGTATCTGATGACTAAACAAAAATTCAGAGCTGAATTTTAAAAAGTACAAAGCTCATCTCAGTCATCTCTGTAGTTGAATAAAAAATATGTTGTCTAGCACATCAAATATTGATTTGTAAATCTTCTGTGTAAGTTGAACATGCGGTATGCTTCATTTGAACATGTGTCACAGTAGTACAAAATGCATAGCATGACAACAAAAATCATGCCATGCCTCATGCCCAAGGACTCAGTAGACTACTCACCTCGCACTATGGCTCAATAGAATGATATTTCTGTAATAAACCACCATCAACTTATTTATGTGAACTAGAAACATAAGTTGACAAAGTGTTTCAAAAATTTAATTGTGAAAAAGTGTAGGATACTGTCAAAACTATACACTGTTCAAAAAAATATTTTAATGTAATAGATCCCATGTAAACTCCGACTTTGGATTGCTAAATAAAAAAATTAACCTTAAAACTCAGAATAAAAACCATGTGTAAAGGGAGTATTTGATAGTAAAAAAATATTAAAATATATCTGTAAACAATTTTTTAATCCTCTAAGCATCCTTGTACTTGTTGTTTAAATTGTATAAAAATAGCAGCATACATTGGAAATAGTGTCCTTCATTTCCTAGAAGTGGTGTTATTGAGAGAATTAATAATTACTATACACTTCATTGGTTTACATACCTGAGAAGTCGAGTTATATAGTCTGGCCAGTTTTCGGGGAACATAACTAGAAAGAAGCCAATGGATATGAGAACCATCCCAGCCAGCTTCATTCCATAGAAGTGAGCGCCATAAAGGACTACATCCAGTGCTGAACACAACATTGCAATGTTAGCTTTGAAAATATTGCCACAAAACTTTGTAGAACTAAGTATTCAGTTTTCACATTTTAGCGAATTTCCCATAGAGGGAATAAGCTATTACCATAGTACTAATGGTAAGACCTGGACCAGGGACCGACTTTCTTTTTCATTTTGAGGTCCCTAGAGGCCAAAAACACCATCCGTTCAAATTCATCCTACTAATATTATAAATGAGAAAGTTTGGATGTATGGATGTATGGATGTATGGATGTATGTTTGTGACAAGTGAACGCGAAAAACACTGGTCGGATTGGGCTGAAATTTGGCATGATGATAGCTCACATTCCCGATTAACATATAGGCATATTCTTATTTCAAAAATCCTTTCGGGCTCCACCCCAGTGGCTCTGGAGTTTCCTATGTTAACCTTATGAGAAATGGAATTATTGAATCTTAACAGCTGTTTCAATTAAACAAGTTGGTTCTGTTCTATGATGTTCAATAGCATTAAAGTTACAAGGATTACCAACAGGGTGCAGCACTATTATTTCTTTTACATTTATTACAACAGCTAATTTGCAACCAAAAGGTGAGTGAGCGTAGCGAACGAACTTCAACCTGAAAGCGAGTTAGCGTAGCGAACGAGCTAACCTGAAGGCAAGTGAGCGCAGCGAACGAGCTCCAACCTAAAGGTGAGTGAGCGTAGCGAACGAGCTCCAACCTAAAGGTGAGTGAGCGTAGCGAACAAACTTCAACCAGGACGTGATTGAGCCATGCGAACCAGATAATCTTGAAAATTAAGAAGTTAAACGGGGCAAAGCCCGCGGGTTACAGCTAGTATATATATATGTCCGTTAGCACGATAACTCAAGCAAAAATCATCCGATTTTGATAGAATTTGGTATAAACGTGTAAACCTACATTTATTCGATCCAGTTTGCGAACCAGCATGATCGGACTATTGGAAGGGGGGTTTATGGGGTAAAAATTAGGGTTTTCCCATTTCTGACCTAAAAAACATAAAATTTAGCAATTTATTTCCAAACCATTTTGTAGAGCTTAAAAAACAAATAATTTAGTATATTGAAGGCTTATTATGAGCCTAATGGTTACGGAGAAATGTATGTAAAATTTTAAATTTATAATTTCCATGTTATTCTTTTGGAGAATAACAATAAGTAAACTGTTGTAGTTTGCTTGTTTATGAACATATTTTAATCAAATTCGGAAAATGCATTTATTTCTTACTAAACTATTAACATTTAAAAAAAAGAACACGTTTACTCTCCCTGTTGCAGCAAACCTAAGTACTCGTTAAACTAATTATATTTAAATAGGGAATAAATGTGATATTTTTAAGGAGACATTTTTGTGTAAATCCAATCAGGCAAATGGAAATTGGCTTAGTCGCAGGTTTGCTGCGGCGGGGGTAGTTTTTAGTTGTCATAGGATTACACTATTCTTTAATCGGTGAAGTTGAAAGCAGAGAACGAAGAAAGTTTTAGACAGGCCTAAGAAAGCACTTCCCAGATCAGGTGAAAACGCTCTACTAATCTCGACGAAGTAAATGCTAGGTCGTCCGTTAAGTCTGATAAGCAAGTCTCAGACAGCTGGCGATTCGGTGGCAATGTAAAATGGCATTAATTTTCTGCCATAATCCAGCTCTACCTAACCTCCTGCACTCGACATGAGTGTCTTCTTAGGCTGATTTAACTATAGGCCTACTTGCACTTGACCAATAAAGACAGTGAGTTAAAGGGTTATGGTTACTTTAAGGACATCAATACACAACCATATGCATATTTTAAGCAGAATAGGAATGCAAGGTGAATGCATGGGAACGACCCCATACTAATTTTTCCAAGAATTGAATCTTATTAGAAATCCATTATATCTGTTATATATTATTTCAGTACTAAACAGCCAACTTAATAACGCAAAAACACAATAAATAATGACTTTAACTACAGTAGTTTGTAAGAATAGTAAGTAACTAGTAAAGACTTGCAGTAATGTTCAGACAATACTTTAATAAATAACAAAAACAAATGATTCAATCAGCTGTTATGTTTTAAAACTCCTGATTGACGTATAACAGATGATTGTAAGGATATAAAGGCATTAGCATTGTTTAAATGGAGAAAAATGGTCATGCATTACGAAAAGAACACATTTCTCTGTGATTATTTATTCATTCTTAACAAATAAGGTATTGATGAAATGTATAACTAATTTTAAAAGTTCAAAAAGGCCAATATATAATAAATTGTTTTAATCACTAGTAATTAAAATAAATTATAATAAATTGTTTTAATCACTAGTGATTAAAACAATTTATTATATATTGGCCTTTTTGAACTTTTAAAATTAGTTATACATTTCATCATTCATTGCCAATATCTCCAAATATAAGTTAAATAAGGTATTATTGAAAACTGCATAAAATTTACTAACTTTTTTGTCACTTGAAATTTTTTGGTAATGTTAACGGTTTTTGAGAAATTTGACATCAAATATTTTAAATGGCCGCAATTTTGAAACGGTTTATGATTTTTAGTATAATTTTAAACAAAAATAGGTCTTAATAAGATAAACATTTTTGCAAAATCTCAACGCTGTTATCTCAAACCGTTTAGGAGTTATAAATTATTTTTTTGTAAAAAACACATAAATACAGACAGATGGTAAACTAGGCATCACAGACCCATGTTCTGTACAGTGAAATGTGTTTGTCTTGACCTAAGCAATAACGCTATATACATGTGTTACGTAAGGCGATTCTTTGCGTAAAAATTGTGGGCGACTGGGATGTCGTAGAACGATGGGAGAGGGCTTGAGGTCAGTTGGACAATGGTGCACAGAGGTAGGCCTTGCTATCAACCCCTCCAAAGTGACGGTTATCCCCTTCACGAGGAGGCGCAATCTAAATGGCATAGGACCTCTGAGACTACAAGACACAGTGCTTGAAATGCAGAATCAGGTAAAGTACCTGGGTGTGGTATTGGACCGAAAGCTGCAATGGGGGCCACAACTCCAAAAGGTCATTGATCGAGGTAAGTGGTCACTCATGGCTTGCAGACGGATGGTGGGAGGAACCTGGGGGCTCAAGCCGGTGCTCATGCACTGGCTATCTGTCTCCGTGGTAAGGCCCGCCATGACATATGGCTCACTCGTGTGGTGGCCTGGCTCATCATGGCCTTCAGGGACATCAACATTTCCATTTTTACAGACAGCCAGGCTGCGCTCAAAACGCTTGACTCCTATGAATTCAATTCTAAGGTGGTCTGGGACTGCCTTTCTGCAGTATGCGACCTGGGCAGGCGCAACAAGGTAACACTCTGTTGGGTTCCTGGGCACTCAGGGATAGAAGGGAATGAGGTGGCTGACAGGCTAGCAAATGTCGCATCAGCCTCAGACTTCGTGGGACCACAGCCTTTCTGTGGAATCTCTCGTGGGCATTCATGTCACTCAGTCATGTCATGGGCTCACGAGAAACACAGGAAAAGATGGGTTCGGCTTCAGCACCATAGGGTAAGTAAGCTTACACTCTTCTCCCCTTCCCAGACGGTCGCCTCCAATGCTCTACGTTTAGACAGGAGGCAACTCAGACAGATCACAGGAATGGTCACTGGACATAGCTTCCTGAAATTGCACCTGCATCGCTTGAGGATCCACAACGGTGACACTGCGTGTAGGAAATGTGGGCAATCAGAAGAGACTGCTGATCACCTACTCTACGACTGTACAGCTCTGAACGAGGTAAGGGACAGTACTCTTGGTGCAATGACAAGGGGCAGACACTTTCCTCAGAAGGAGCTCATAGAAAGGATGCTGGAGTTCATTAAGCAACTCAGAGTATGACGGACTCTGAAGTACCATGTGGGGAGCGCAAAAAGCCCATCAGTGGCTGACGTGCAACAGGACAAGGTCCTCCCCTACAGAATCAATTAATCAATCAATCAAGTCTTAATTATTATGGGTAACGTTACCCCTGGTTTTATACAGGGTCAGTTTTAATTGTCCCCCCACCCCAACTTTTTTCTGCATTTTTTCAAATATCAATCCCAGACCACTTCCAAACATTGTTGGGTAGTAAGTACTTCATTTTGACAGGGTGGTCATTTCCGGCCGCCATCTTGGATCCGCCATATTGGATGCAAAATATGTTTTTCAATTGTAAAGGTGGGGTTGTGACCCATTATTCCGAACTATATTTTTACCCTGATTACAACCCTTTTTTTTATTTTACCCTGATGCCGCAAATCGTTTTTAAAAATCTTGATTCATTCCAAAGTTATGAGGACTTTTTAAAACTTTATTTTCAGCCCATTTTAACATTGTGCATTTACAAACTAAGACCATAATCTCAAAATAGTGCTAGATATAGATAAGTATACACTAACAGTCATTGCCAACCTATTTTCACTTGGTTATGACTGATGTATTTTTTTTTGGCCGCCATCTTGGATCCGCCATTTTGAAATGTGATAAATTTTTTTAAATATTAAAGGGGTGTTGTGACCCATCATTTCGGATTACTTTTTTAAGCTGAACTCAATTCCATGATCCATTTTTCATTTTCATATTTTGATTTTGAAATATTAACATTTTTTACAAAAAAATTTCAATATTTCATAAATAAAACTTGATAACAAAAAATGGATTCGAGACCTTTTTTACGGGATCGAGACCTTTAATTTGAGCCCTCTCCTGTCATTCTACGACTTTCCAGTCGCCCACAATTTTGACGCAAAGAATCGGCTTACGGAATTTATATATAGATTCTTAGTTTGTTTGAATATTAAAATAAGCTTTTTTACATTTTGAGCTTTTTAGGGACTTGCCCCTAGTAGTTCATTAAACTAGTTCTCCTTGATTTATAATAAATACTAAAACATTAGTTGTTTAATGTTTACCAGCAGATACAGGCACAGCAGTGATAAGCCCCAAGGTGATGAACAGGTCATAAGTCACAGCCACACTAAAGTTGCCCAGAAGATTTGCCACTGAAACAAATGGAAATACTACAGTCACTAAACCGGACTCCATGATGGGAACGCTGTTTTACAGTTTTATGGGGTAAAAAAATAGTTTTTCTCATTTTTGACCATCAAAACACAAAATTTCCCAATTTCTCTCTAGACCATTTTAAAGAGCTTAAAAAGACAAATAAAATTAAAATATATATTGAAGTGTTTTGTGTTGTTTTTTGTTACGGAGAAAATTCAAAAAATTGTAAATTTAAAATCCCCATGTTATTTTTATGGAGAATATTGTAAAATGTTGTAGTTTGCTTGTTTATGGATATATTTTTATCAAACTTGGCAATTTTATTTATTTTAAGCTATTAATATTTTACTAAAAACACACTTCATTAGCCTCCCTGTAACAGCAAACCTGGGTACTCGTTTAACCTAAAGTTATTTAAATAGATTTAATTGAATATCAATTCAGGCAAATGGAAATTCGCTTAGTCTGCAGGTATGCTGCGGCGAGGGTATTTTGTACCTAAGAGAAGAATGGCCCAAACCCTGGTCTTAATGTTGAACTTATTTTACTCTACAACATGGACAGTTTTATATTGGTGCTTGACTAGTATCTTTACACTTTTAGTGGGTGGGTCAGAATTCAAATATTTTTGTAGCTGATGATTTTAACATATAATTGAACATTGAATAACATTTGAGCTACACGAAAAGAGCTACACATAAACAACCCACCGACATTCTTGTCAGGGGGAAGCCTATAACGGTTGGTATTTTCTAAACACATATTATTTGAGATTGTAAACTTAATTTATCATTTTGTTTGAGTTAAGCCTCCGAATCACTGGTCACCTGTACTGGTGAAATTACCTGCTGTCAAGTGATCCTTATGACCTTGAAAGGCGACCAGTTTCGATCCTCACGGGATCATCTTCAGGCGGATGTCGTCATCGTCTTTTTGTTCTTCCGAACATGTAGTTTTTTTAAAAACATCGAGATTTACAGTTTTACATCACTTAAAACACTTAACACAAAACACGAAAAATGGCCAATAACTGAAAACTAAAAACATAAAAAACAACGTAAAAGACAATGGTGACGTCCGCCTAAAGATGATCCTGTGAGGATCAAAACCGGTCGCCTTTCAAGGTCATAAGGATCACTTGACAGCAGGTAATTTCACCAGTACACAACTTAATTTAGTTTATATTATGGCCAGTTTTATTTGGCTGTCAGATACACCATTGTAGGGAGCGTTAAAGAAACTAATGAAACGGCTTTATTTTTAGTGGCATATAAAGTTGTTGTACACCTGTAGAGAATTAATTGCTATTATGTACAAGAATAACAGTTATTGTAAAGTTAATGACAAACCCAGAGATAGAATGCTAGCGGCCAGTAGAGCAGGCCAGGGAAGTCTGTCCCAATAGAGGGTCTCCATCCCTGTGAAGTATAGGGTAAGACACAAAGGCCACAGAAGGGAAGCGTTCAGCAGACCGATGATAGAGAAAAACAATGACACCTGTCCATAGCTGGCGTCGCCGATGACTTTCTTGAACAGTACCTTCAACAAAGTGATGTTGTAGGAAAAGGTGTCAGTCAAAGATATAACTGTAATATAATTAGCTAATTTCCCTCACATTTTGTAAACTGTCACATTAAAACCTTGTCGATATAAACTGTGAAAGATAACATTTTAGCATTTAGCAACTCGAAGGAATGCTTTTTTGAAAATTCAACACAGAACCCAGATGTCAATGATTTTTTATTGTTAGTTAATTAATGCTTCATAACGTACCACAGATTGGGAAATACTGATCATAACAGTTCAGTGACAGCAAGCAGTAAGGTAAAGCTATGGTTCCACAGTCTGCGGAATTTCCGCTGTGCGGTGCGAAATTTTCCACTGCGGAATTACGACACTGGTTCAATGGAGTTCCCTTTGTCCGGTTCCACTGACGTCCGTTTACATGTCCGGAATATACGGTTCCGCATAGTGGATTGATTAATCATACTGGTCTGAGAGCAGTAGCAGTGCGGAATCCGCCAGCGGAGAGGAGCTATCAGCTATTGTGACCAAGTATGTCTTGTGTGGTAAAAAGAGGTGTTTATGGATGTTTACTAGCCTGAAGCAATGTAGGCCTACCTTGTAAACTGCGGAGCAGGCAGCTGCAGATGCTGCTAACACAACCCCACTGAGTGTCGGACTGCCAGTGATGCCATCCATGTAGGCCAGTAATGCAACCCCTGTGTCACACAAGATCACAGCAACTATCTGTGAAAACAATCAAGTGCCTCACAGTAATCTATATTATTAATACGCTACATGAAACTTTGTAAACAATAAGGCTTTTTTATTTTAATATTTAACCCCACATATTATATACCAAAATGTTTGTCTAGGTGTGTAGATTTGCAAACAGACCTAACATTTTTGAGAAAGTCCCTTGGGCTCTGCCCCAGTGGCTTTTAAAGTTCCCATGTTATCCTTATGAATAACATATTTGTTTACATTATGATCAGCTGGATAATGTAATTGCTGTTAATATTTAAGTTGCAATTTAAGGAAACGTGTGCTACAAACATTTACTGACTTGGTTGAAATTAAATATTTATTTGGATTGGTGTAAATATTACAATAAAAAAAAACCCGAGAAAGCCTGGACAATTTGATATACTAAAAAGAAAACTGAATTAATACTGTGCTGCATTTCTTGAGCATTCATTAAATGAGCTGATTTACAAATAGTGATGGGTTGGTACTTATGGCCTTGAGTGGGCCTGACCTGGCTGGTGACAGTGTTTTATGGTATATATGTTTACATCCTACTGCCCTTCCTTCCGAGAAAAAGTCACTGCTGTTCATTGACTTGACAGTTTTAAAGCGTTGACTTGTGTTGGTAATTACAACTGTCTGTCTGCATTTAATTTTACTTATTTTCCCTGAACGTGTCCCATAGTGAGTGTGCATGCTTTAAGCTTTCTAAGTGTTTCTTGGTTGTTATATTTTAGTGATAGTTAAGTATAAAAGTTTTAATAAGGTAATGTGACAATGTTTAATAATTAATAACTTCTCCGAAAACTAACTTTATTTTCTACTAGTTAGTTTTTTTAACTAACTAATAACTTCTAACTAGTTTGAATTTATGACTAGCTTTCCCAACTTGTAATGAATATGTATTGTTACTCTGCTCTAGTCATATAACACCGGTTCTAATGTATTGTTCCCCATACCCATGTATTGCATGTGCATGTAAAAGAATGTTTTGACTAAATAAAAGTCTATAACTAATCTCCAAGGTCTTAAACGGGTACAAATTATTAGTGAATGGCTTTGTGGTTGTTGTTTATTTAATGTCTCCAAGCCCAAAGACTAAATTTCTATGTTTGTACAGTTGAAACCTATTACCATAAAAACCTCCTCTACTGAGTAGCAGAGTGGTTTAGTGCTCGCCTTCAAATCTGACATGGCTGGTTCGATTCCAAGCGAGATCGTTACTGGATCCAGATGCCGTTGCTCATTAGGTTCTATTATGGGACCTCTGAAAGTGCAACATTATGAACATTACCGGTTCTGGATCCCGAACCGAGTGGTTCCGTTATCTGTGAGTGGTTCTACTCACCCTTACTCCTACAAACTGTTCATGAAGAATGACCCAAGAAAGGAGGTAGACACAGGAAACATTGGTAGCAAACAAAGCCATGACGTCGGTAGCCAGTAATATGCGCAGAGAGCGTATATACATGTAGTTGGTGGCCACCCATAGCAAGCAGAAGAAACTGCATCTTGTCAGAAACCGACCTGAAACATTGATTATCAACAGCAAGTTCACATATCTCTTATTGGAGAGTACAATAGAACCTACATTAGATAATGTAATCAAATCAAATCAAACTTTATTGTGACAAAACGTCCATACATAGCATAGCTACAAAACAGGTGACATTGTCAAAATTATAATAAACTAGCTGTAACCCGCAGGCTTTGCCCCGTTGAACTTCTTAATTTTCAAGATTATCTCGTTCGCATGGTTCAACCACGTCCTGGTTGAAGTTTGTTCGCTACGCTCACTCACCTTTAGGTTGGAGCTCGTTCGCTACGCTCACTCACCTTTGGGTTGGAGCTCGTTCGCTGCGCTCACTTGCCTTCAGGTTAGCTCGTTCGCTACGCTAACTTGCCTCCAGGTTGAAGTTCGTTCGCTACGCTCACTCACCTTTTGGTTGCAAATTAGCTGTTGTCATAAATGTAAAAGAAATAATAGTGCTGCACCCTGTTGGTAATCCTTGTAACTTTAATGCTATTGAACATCATAGAACAGAACCAACTTGTTTAATTAAAACAGCTGTTAAGATTCAATAATTCCATTTCTCATAAGGTTAACATGGGAAACTCCAGAGCCACTGGGGCGGAGCCCGAAAGGATTTTTGAAATAAGAATATGCCTATATGTTAATCGGAAATGTGAGCTATCATCATGCCAAATTTCAGCCCAGTCCGACCAGTATTTTTCGCGTTCACTTGTCACTAACATACATCCATACATCCAAACTTTCTCATTTATAATATTAGTAGGATACATAGTTGGTCATCTTACATTCTATAGTTAAAATTAAATACAAATAAAAATAATGTAATAATGTACATCATATGATAATGATAATGATACATCAGAAGACCATCCCTTCATCACAAATTTAAGGCATTAATAACAGTTAAATAATGGAGAAAATTTCATCATTTAGTTATTTTTAACATGTTGAAATTCTGTATGATACAAATAACATAAAATCATCTTTCATTGCCATAAAACATGAGCTTTGGCGTGAGTAAAACAAAATTACACACTAATGTAAGACATACGTAAGCAAACAAAAAAGAATGAATGAAATTAATGAATGAATGAAATGTGTTTATTTCCACATAATATATACAGAAAACAAAACATACTTTTTAATACAAAATATACTTACAAAATAAAACTAAGACTAAGAATAAAAAAGAACATTTTTGTATAAATTAATTCAATCGATTATATGAAATACAGCAGACATAGGCAAGTGCTGCCTGTGTGTCTGCTGGGCTGCTATTTAATATTTATAGTAACCGAGTCATGTGGAATTATTGTCAATAAAAACGGTTAACAATGGAAAGTTATTAGTTTAGAAAGGAGATTTATATGAATTCAGTAAAAATTGAATAAGTACTAGAGTGAATACAGTTTTGAACAGGTGGGGACAAGACTACTAGGATTAATGCTGGATCAGGATAGAGGGGGCAAGGGTAAGGTCAAACGCGCCGGTAATCAGCTGTGATGATAACGTCGGCCTCATCTATACCAAGCCTGAAGAGAAATTGTTTGATTCTTAGTTTGAAAACATTAATTGATGGTAATTCAAAAAGATTATCATTGGTAAAATATTTACAGATATTTCGATAGAGAACATTAGAAATATAGAAAGAGTTTGTTTTAGAAAAAGTATAGTTTATCTGAAGTGATGAGATACCTACTCGTGAGGAGTAACGAGTACTGTGGGAGTGAGTTATTCCTTGAAATATATTAGTGTGATTTTTAAAGATGTTTATTAATAGGCTTTTGATGAATAACTGTTGAATAGTGAGAATGGACAATTCCTCAGAGCGTCAGTCGGGTATCGTTTGCATTTACCAAACCCACTTTCAATATGGTTTTTTGAGCCACATTTAAAGGTTCAAGAACACTTTTATAACATCCACCCCACGCAATAATACCAAATGAAAGCAAAGACTGGACATAAGCAAAGTATGCCATTTTTAATTCTTTTATTGATAGGCCTAGTATTTCATTCATCTGTTTGAAAGCAAAAATATATTTCCGAATTTTGTTTCTGAGATAAGTAGTATGAATATTCCATTTCAAACAAGTAGTACTTCGATAGTCATTACAATTATGAATAATTAAATTAGTTAAATTAAATTCAGTACTTTTACTTATAGAAATTGGCATAAATTTGGTCTTAGATACATTTAGCGAAAGTATGTTTTGATTCAACCATCGTTTTACAATCATAAGATCATGCATAGCCTTACTTAAAAACAAACTTAAAACGATCGAGAGCTGCAAAACCATTTTGGTCAGTGGTGCGAACGCTATTTTTCACCACACTATACCCTATTACCAATATTCCCCACAATAATAATGCACACTGATAGTCAACAGAACTACAACTTTAAGGTTATGTGAAGAAATAATTTGAGGAATCAGAAAAAATAATAATAAATGGTTGCCAGGCAGCGGTGACGATAAAACAATTCAGTTGTGTATTTCATATGCATTCATGTTTTAAGAAAGTAAGCAGACAGCTGACTTTGCGGCCCTAGGGATGTAAAAACCTGCTTGGTCCCCAAATGACGATGACAGCTGGTATGGCCAGCAAAACGTAACTTTCAGCCACCAATTGACGTATGTAAAACAGCTAAAAACATCATAGTGTAGTGAAAAAAATTTTTATCTAAGGCCAGTGTATTTTCTGAGTTTAGAAACATTTGGTTATGTAGGGTAATGGCAGGTATTATTGGCACCCACTAGCTATTGGCACCATGTTTTTGATTATTTTTTATAGTACAGCTAAGCTTGGAAAACTATTTCTAAAGGCTGTGCCTCATGTTCCTCAATATATGGCCTTTGAGTAGCACATAGTCAGTTGTTTCACAGTTAAGGTTGTTATTTTTTAAATGGTTGAGAGTTGAGTCAATTGCCAACACCCAACTCAACCAACAGCATTATTTGGTATTTTTTAAATCCAACAGTTGAAAAGTGCAGAGGTGCCCTCAAAGCGATAGCATCTTTAACTCCATAGGGACTAAAAAGGCTTTTTACTCCATAGGCCAAAGAGCCACTATAGACCCGCAACGCATAATGGCTCGTTTTGCTGTAGTATGACGATATCATACAGGGGTTTAAAGTTGTTTAACACACGGGCTCTGACCACCTGCCAATTGAAGTATCCTTATCGATAGATAACGACATTTGTGTAAGGAGAAGAGATGAAAACATTTTACCTTTGCTCCCAAAATTGAAATGGACTCGATGTTATATCAGGAAAAGGTTATTCAGAATATTGCTAGGTTTCGTATATCGTTGGAAGACCAAAATAATTTTGATCAAATTGTACATATTATAAAGGAGTCAGCCCATTCAAAGCAAAGTGCGACTAGTAGTAGCTGTTCTTTAAAACAACGGCACAAACAAGAATGGTTTGATTACGAATGTTTAGCGTTGAGAAAGCGGAAATTTAAGAGGTTAAACATATTTCGTAGGACAAACTCGACAGCTGACAAATCTGAGTACATTCAAGCATGTAAGATGTTTAAAATTGTATGTAAAAATAAACAAAAAATGCACTTGGATAATACGATTGCCAGTTTAAATCACAGGACTGACGCGAAAACATTTTGGTCGGCTTTAAATACGGGAGTGATAGGTTTGTGGGTAACATTGCACGGCAGGATTGGAATAAATGAAGAGACAGGAAAAAATGTTAATAGCTCAAAAGGAGCAATCAATGTAATAAAAATAGATGGTGAAGCTGTATGTGATCCTCTGAGCATCTCAAACTTGTTTAATTACTACTATATCAATGTAATAGATGATCTTGTTCAGGATACCTCAAATAATTCAACGTTGCCCAATGGAATAAATTTACAGGACAACATAAATCATATTGAAATCTTGAATCCTTTTAAATCTAAACCAGTTGATGAAGCAGAGATTGAAAAAATTATTTTGTCCTTAAAAAATAAGTTATCAAGTGGCCACGATGAAGTTCCTTTAAAGTTAATTAAAAATACAGTAAAACCCTTGTTAAAGCCATTAGTTCACTTAGTTAACAGTTCCTTAATAACCGGAGTTTTTCCTCAAAGTTTAAAAATGTCCAAAGTAGTGCCCATTTTTAAGAAGGGTGAAAAAACTGAAAGAAGTAATTACCGTCCTGTTTCTGTCTTACCTGCTATTTCAAAAATATATGAGCGGGTGATGTATAATAGATTGTTTGAGCATTTACAAAATAATAACCTTTTAGACGAAGAACAGCATGGTTTCCAAAAAGGAAAATCAACCACTTCAGCTCTGCTGAGGTTTGCGGAAACAATAATTGAATCTATTGACAAGGGGGATAAGGTAGCCAGTGTCTTCATGGATTTGTCAAAAGCATTTGACAGCGTGTCTCATGAAATACTACTTAAGAAGCTTAAAGTTTTGGGCCTGCCAGATGTTCCTTTAAAATGGTTTAGATCATACCTCTCCGATAGATCTCAGTATGTTGAAATAGTTTCAAAAAAAGGAAACCAAGTCGTTAAAAATAAATCACAAACATTAAAAATTAAACATGGAGTTCCTCAGGGATCTATTTTAGGACCATTATTATTTCTCTGCTATGTCCGTGGAATGCCCTCAATTTTAAAATCAAACATATAAGCCAAAAGCCAGTTACTATTGTACGCAGACGATTCAAACCTAATTATTTCAGCTAAAAATTACCAAAATCTTGAACTGGCCTGTAATGAAAATTTGAGTAAAGTTCAATCATATTTTCTTAAAAATAAACTTTTTTTAAACTGTCAGAAAACCAACCAAATCGTTTTTTCAGCCTCACAAAGAAAAGAAACAATAGAACCAAACATCCTGGTTGGAAACGAAAAAATAGAAAATCTAAAGCATACTAAATTTTTAGGGCTTTACGTAGACACATATTTTAAATGGGATTATCATACACAATTCATAACACAAAAAATTTCTTCAGGGTTATATGTTTTGAGGCGTATGTCACTATTATGTAGCCTGGACACCCTAAAATCAATATATTTTGTGCATATACATTCCCATCTGTCTTATGGTCTGGCAATCTATGGAGGAACGTCCAAACAAAATTTAGATACAGTTCTGAAACTCCAAAAAAAAGCTATAAGAATCATGTTATACTTGGACAAACGAATAACTGTGAAGGATAAATTTTCAAAACTACATATTTTGACTGTCTATGATCAGTATATAGTAGAATGTATTATGTGTGTCAAAAATCAACTACACAATTTGGAAATTAGAAAAAATGTCCATTCATATGACACTAGAAATAAGAATGATATAAATTTATCAAAACATAACCTCAGCTTCTTTGAAAAAAAGGGAACCTTTATGGGATCAAAATTTTTAAACCATCTTCCTACAAAATTAAAAAGTAAAATAAACCAAAATAATTTCAAAAAACTAGTTAAGAATCATCTGTTGCAAACGAGTTATTATTCATTTGAAGAGTTTTTTCAATGTAAAAACGACTAAATAAATAAGGTTGAGGTGCTCTGATGGAAAAAAATAAAAAAATGAAACTGTATGCGGTTCTTACTTTTCTGTAAATCGAAATCAAAATGCATACAAATTAGTTATAGTCTGACACTATTCATGTATGTACATACAATATGAATAAAGAATTTTTGATTTGATTTGATTTGATTTGATCAATTATTTTAGTAAATTAAACCCGCCACGATTATCAGCTGGGATCTGTTATGCGGAACCAATGATAACAAACGATGTTTTGGACAGAGATTTTAGTATGTTAGAGTTAAAATCAATTCTCGCGAGATTAAAAGATAATAAAACGCCGGGCCACGATAGGGTGCCCTACGAGTTTTATAAAAATGCTCCAGATTCACTGCTCACTAGAATATTGGGTATTTATAATAACATGTTAAACAAGTGCAGGGTAGTGGAAAGTTTTAAAAATTCTATTATATTCCCGCTGCACAAAAAGGGAGATGCAAATTCTGTTGAGAATTATAGAGGACTTTCCTTTATTGACTGTGGTGGTAAAATATTTACGAGTTTGCTGAATTCTAGACTAAATGTGTGGTTAACTCAGAATAATATATTGACAGAGTTTCAAGAGGGGTTCAGACGTGGATATTCTACCATTGATAATATATTTAGTTTATCGTGTATGATTAATTTAAGTTGTGCGATTAAAAAAGGCAAGTTATTTTGTTTTTTTTGTAGATTTTTCAGCAGCCTTCGACACTATAGACAGAAAGGCCTTAATTTATAAATTATTTAGTACAGAAGTCTCAACCAAATTTGCCAAGCTTCTTGAAAATCTATCTACGATAGAACCAATGTTTCTGTATGGTGTAAAAACGGCATTACAAGTAGTTTTGAGTCCAAGATGGGTTTAAAACAGGGTTGTAATCTTAGCCCTACTTTATTCTCAATATTTATAAATGATTTGCCAGAATTTTTAGAGGGCGGATGTTTATTTGGAGGTCAGAAAATAAATATTTTAATGTATGCGGATGACATAGTTTTAATAGCTCCCACAGCTGTTGTACTGCAACAATTGATTGGAATCTTGAACTTTATTGCAATTTATGGAACCTTCAAGTTAATACTAATAAATCCAAAATTATGGTTTTTTGCAAAGGAGGTAGATTGGCAAAAAGTAATAAATGGTTCTATAAAGGCAAAGAGGTCGAGATTGTTAACTCTTACAAATATCTGGGGGTATTGTGCACGCCAATGCTAAGTTGGGAACAACATTTTCAGATGAAGTCCACAGCTGCAAAATTAGCCATTAACGCCGCCTGGAACAAATTAATAAACAATGACAGGGTGCATCTGTCCTCAAAATTTGTATGTTTTAACACTGTGGTAAGATCAATATTATGTTATGGAGGCCAGGTATGGGGATATTTAGAGAGCGAAAAGATAGAATCTGTACAAAAGTTATTTATTAGGAAACTGTTTCAGTTGCCTAATAACACGCGAAATTACTCACTGTACTTGGAAACGGGTCTAGATAAATTACACGTTTATTCTCTCTCAATGAATTTTAATTATATAATAAATATATTGGGGCTACCACCTGAGTGTTTACCAAGATTATTAGCAGCTGAAGTTTTAAGAAAAAATGTAGATTGGTGTTGAGCGTGGAGAGCATTAGGAATCAAATACGGCGTGCAAATGGACCTGAATATACATACGATTGAGGAGGCGGGGAGTGGTAGGTTAAAGCCTCAATTAGTTAGTGTCGTAAATGCAGCGAGAGATAGCAGGAGAGCTGAGTGTCTAGGCAGAGAGCGTACTTCAGCTTATCATTCTCAACACCTCGTCGTTGACTTTGACCTTGGCAACAATAGCTTCTTGGAAACTGGTTTAGACAACCGAACCATTTCTTGGATAATAAAATGTAGAGGATAACTTATAGATCTCAAATATAAACCGTGGATTGTCGACAAAAACCACACATGTTCCTTGTGTAATTTAAACGAGAATGAATCTGCTTTACACTTTGTAACTAGTTGCCCTGTGTTCAATGACTTGCGACTCTTGTATTTTGGTAAACAAAAAATACAATATGAGGAGTTTGTGGATTATTTGAATGGGAAGGATTGGCTTGGAAGTTTTTTAAAAATTGCATGGAAATGTAGATGGGAGCTAGTTAGGGAATTTAATTTTTAATTTTGTATTACAATATGTTTAGAGTATAAATATATGTGTATATATGCATACATGTGTATGTGTATATATCTATGTATATGTGTGCATAAAGAAGTGTTATTTTATTTTGTTTTAGTGCTCAGTATGTTGATTTATGTGGTACAATTTTATTTCATTAATATTGAATGGACATTATGCCAACCCAGCAGACGGTCGTATGACCATATTGTTGTATGTGCATGTGTAAATTTATCGCACCCACTTGATGTAGCCTACTGTACATATTATGTATTCAATAAAGCACTTTTCTATTCTATTCTATTCTAGTCAGTTGTTTCACAGTTAAGGTTGTTATTTTTGAAATGGTTGAGAGTTGAGTCAATCGTCAACACCCAACTCAACCAACAGCATTATTTGGTATTTTTTAAATCCAACAGTTGAAAAGTGCAGAGGTGCCCTCAAAACGATAGCATCTTTAACTCCATAGGGACTAAAAATGCTTTTTACTCCATAGGCCAAAGAGCCACTATAGACCCGCAACGCATAATGGCTCGTTTTGCTGTAGTATGACGAAAACTAATTTACAAGTTTCTTTTTGCTGGAGTTTTACGGCTTAAATGAAAAAAACTAAAACCAGTTTGCACATCTGGACATCTACATAGATAAATTTAATGTAAAATAAGTGAGGTTGGATCTTAAAGAAATGTATTGGGAACAAAATTTGCATACAGCGTATTATGTAAATATATTATAAGTTACTCTTATATAGACAGACAAAAAATATGTATTGGTCTACCTGATTTACTTCTTATCTTTGTTCAATTTTATATTTTTTCGTATAATAAAATGTATTCATTTAAATGAGGATTAATATATAGATAGGAGTGGGTTAATATCAAGGGTGTCAAAATTACTCTCGGAAGTCCAGTAAAAAACACCTTGCACCGGCCCAAAGTCTACTTTCAATAGTATGAGTCAAATAGTCACTAATTTATTATTAATTTGGGCTTCCTCTAGACTCCTTTAGTGTGAACTCCGTAAAGCAAACTCAGCTTCTGCACTGGTGTAAAATACCTGGCTTAGGGCATGGACTCGACACTTTTTAGTACGAGGTAGCTTGTACACAGCATTTCACACCATACTGTTAGCTATATTAGATTATTTTCATTCACCTACACAATATAAAATGACACATTCATCTCAAAAGTTTAAAATGTTATATTGTTTTTAATCTTTAGATATAAATATCACTCTTAATTTATTGGTAATAATTATGACTATACAAGAGTTCAACCTTGTTTCTGGCCTGAATCTATGATCCTACATTTGAAATTAGCCAGAAAGTGCTTACCAGCGGTAAATCCTTTCTCACGGAAGTTGCGTACACTCTCAGCCAAGACATCACCTCCCTTGCATCGATTGGTGGCCAAATGGCACAGCATGTAGAGGGGAAAGAACAGAACTGTCCAGTTGGTGCAAAACCATGTGGTGAAAAAAGGGGCGTCATAAATCATCATCTGGAAACATAATTACATTAGATAATTTATGCTGAATTAATAAAACACCGTTTTAGCGAATTTCCCATAATATGTATTCCATGTATGTATGTATTTCCTATATTATAGGGAATAAGCTATTACCGTAGGTCTCATGGTAAGACCCGGACCCGGGACCGATTTACTTTTTCGTTTTGATGTTATGTTTTGAAGTCATGAAATTAATTCTGCATATTTTATAACTTTGCTAACATGATCTTTCCATTCATGTAACAATGTGGAGCAAGCTGGTCTATAGTAGGTTATATCGCATTGATACATGTAACATAGTAGATCGCTGACCTCAGCTTCAAATGCTGCCAATCACTAATTCTGCGACCCATCTCTAAAAGAAATGTTTAAAACAATAAAAAAAAAAAAAACAACAACAAAACACAGTCACATTTAATATTGAACTCACAGGCTGCTGATGTATGCTGGAGGAGTTGGCAGAGATGGGGTAAGAACGCTGGAAGTAAAGGTACTTGATAGCATGAGTGGCTCCAACCCAAGATGCTGTTACACAGACTGTGACACACACTCCATAGTATATCTGCAACAAAGAGATGGGTGATAAAACATACAGAAAGTAAATAAAAGAAAGGAATATGTGTATTTATTTACATATATAAGCATAAATATATGTTTAAGTGTTATAAGAGGTTTCTTTTATTTACTTTCCGTAAATTTAATAACAGGTACAACGCTTAAAATTAAATTCCTTGTTGATGGCCCATGGATTACTTTATATGACTATAATATTATGATATATCCAACGGCTATAATAGCGGGCTTGTAGACAAACTTATAACAAAAGGACAAACGTAAGAAGTATGTATGTATTGAATATTCCCATACACTACAAAATTGCCCATCCAAAGAGCTTCGTAGGCAGGGAATTGAATTAACATTCAAAACTACAAACCCTACTCGTAACACCCTGTCTCAAACTGACCGATCAAGAGATAAAATGGAAATGACAGGTGTTTACAAAATCACTTTATCAAAATCATTTTATAACTAAGAAAAACAAGTATAAAAACTATCATAATATATAGCTGAAAATAAAACTAAAATTCTGATTGGCCCTGCGGTAATTAATCCAAAAACTGGCATGGCACTTTAAGTGTTAAGAAATGGTAGTTGATATAACCGACCTGACCAAGAAAGAATTAAGGATGAAGCTAACAAAGTCCTGGAATTGTATAGGATTACTTTATTGGCCAGGCTGTGTTTTAAATTATTTGAAGGTTAATTAGTTCTAGATTCTTAAAAACTACCTGTTGTATTATAGTGTTTATATACCATATATTATATTTATTCTTTGTCTTAGCTAGGCTATGTGATTTGTTGTGTTGGTAACACTGTTTGGATATTATAGATTGTACTTCAACTACTTCCGTTTATGCTAGACTATGACAATGTTTTGTGCTGTAACTTAATCAAAATAAATCCAGTTAATTGATCTAGACTGTGTATTTCAATACCTAGTAACAATCCAACACTACCAACAAAGATATTACAGGAAACATATTTAGAATTTATTAGCCGTGTTGTGTTAGGGCAGGAATGTTTCCACTCTCCCAGGTAATAAGTAAGCTTACGGCAAGCCTTTCCTTTTGTTTGAATCAAAAAACTTATCAGACAAAACTTTCCACTCACCAGAGACAAGTTTTCCTAAGAAAACTTGAGCGACAAAAACGTACGGCAAGTCTTTCCCTCGTTTTCTACGAAAAACGTATCCGCCAAAACTTGCCACACACCTAAAGCAAGCTCTCCTCAGAAAACCTGCGCTGGGAAACCCGTAGAAAACTGGCCAAGAAAAACTAAGTAATTCTTCGGATCTCCCCTGCAGCGCTAAGTAGTGTAAATCGCCGTTTGGATCGGCATGTCAAGGGAAGGGAAGCGCCAATCGCCATTTTGTGAAAGGTTACAGCTACTGTACACCGCTCCCAGATAATTGGCAGTGTACTATATTATATTTAAACGGCAAACTGTTATACAGAGCGTTCATAAAAGTATGTCACAAAAGGTATGAGGTATTATCAAACAAGCTGTCATCGCATCGTAAGTCCAATCATACAGTTCAGTACCGGTACGTCATATTAAAACTTTGTTAATAAATTTAACCAACTGCTAAGGCTTGCCTGGCTAGTTTACCCAAAGCTATTCAGGATAAGTTTGTCTCAAATGTTTATTTAAGGCATTCATTATAATTGCCAGCAAAGCTTTCAGAAAGCTGTGGTGTTCAAGTTTTCACAAACCTGCCCAGAAAAGATTAAGTCAAGTGTTTAAGAAGGGAACTAGAAATCTTGCCTCACACATGCCACTAGTTTGATTGCTTGTCAAAGAAAACTTTAAACAAGTGTTTCTAGCTTGCCATGGAAAGTTTGTTTGCCTTTCTCAAGTTATTTTTCCCACCTGGGCTGCTTTTTCCAAAAATCCTATATTTTAATAGGTGACACTTTTTTTGCCATGGTGGTGAGCGTTTTCGCACTAGAAAATTTACTATTATACCACTGAGTATTGGACTCGAACACTAATATCGACTTTATGCTATGACTTTTCAAATTTTAGATCAAAACATTGGATAGTATAATATTTATAGATAACAATAAATATTTTAAAACCTTACCTTTTTTGCAGATTTGCTGCAACAAGAGTTTTTGCAAGACCGAAGCTGTGAGCATAACCCTCGGTTATTCACAGGTTGAGGCTGTTCTGATTGGCTTTCTGAAAATTATAAGTTGTTTCTAAATAATTTGACATCCACGTGAAATTGTAATTGCATCTTTTTTAGCCAAAAGAAATCTTCCACAAGGTTGTACCAGTGGCGGATCCAGAGAGGGGGGTGGGCCCCTTGGGTATCCAATTTAGGCCTACACTAGATAAAATGGGTAATATTCACTGAGAAGAATAAAAACTTATCTCAGGTAACCATGACGGAAGACCGATTGAACGGGATTGCACTGGCTCATATTAATTAGGAAAGGGAAATCGAAGTAGATAGCCTGTCTTAGGCTACATCATTTTAGTCGGTCAAAACCAAGTCAAATGGGTTTGTCAAATTATGGGCCATCGAATAACTTATTCATAGCATATATTGTACTGTTAAAAAAAGTTGTAACATTAAAATATCTTTTGAATAAGTTTTATTTTTATTTTTATTATTACTGTCCTTTAAAATAGTAAACTTATTTCTTTGTTTTGAACTGTTACCCTTTAAATTCAGGATAAGAGTAAACCAGCTAAAACAATACTTCTGCTTTGGATTTTTTTTTTTTTATAAGGAATAATAAGTAATGCATTATAGAAACTTATTATAAGGTAGAATAACTAAAAATGTACATACAGGATTATTTAAAAAACTCTTAATCATTTGAAACATTGTAATATCAGTAAAAGTATTTCCGTACTTGAAATAAAAAGGTAATAGCTTTCAACGTTCAAATACTTATGGTCAAAGGGTCTTGTATGATATGTTAATGCAAAAACATTCTAATGGGTTCAAAATCCTTTAATTTTTTAGTCAATATTCTTGAGTTAAACCATAGTTTTTTGCCTCTAAACTCTGGTTAATAAAGAGTTGAAACGGCCTAAAAACGTGTCATTTTAAACTTACATTTTGAAAATATTTTTCAATATTGTGTTATTTTCCTATAATACTGATGTTTATTTAAGATAGAAATCATAAACATTTAATCGGCCATTGAACAGTTAAATACAAAACAATAGCTTTTTAATGATTTTTTTTATTGCCTTTTAATTACTCTGGGCTAGGTAGCTGCGTATAAGTGGAATTTATGATAAAAAAACCAACAACAATTATCTTTATTGAAACTGACATTTTGAAATACGGTATTGTACGATTATTTCGTCGTACAAGGTTGGCAACGCTCCATGCAGTGGGCGCGGCCAGGTTTTAGTGACTTCCAGAGTAAGCCAATTCCTACGTCTCATTTTCATTGTCAACTTAAGCTGCATTGCTTAGAAAATCGATCCTGACTGACGGTGGCGCTGAAAGAATATTACCTTGACCGAATGGCCATGTCGTGGCGGGATGGCGTGCATTAGGCCTGGGTGCAGCAAGAGGGTGTATGTGTGAGTGATTGTGTGTTAGAGAAATTAATTTATGCAATGTTGTTACACCTATTTGTTTATTGTAATCTTTGTTGTTTTATTTTGTTAATGTTTTATTATTATTGTTAGTTTTTTAGAGGTTAACAGTAAGAAAGGACCATGAAGTCCTAAGTTCGCCTGAATAAAGAAGGATTTTCATTTCATTTCATTGATTTTAAAATGTTAATACTTACTACAGGTTTACAGACATAAAAACCTGGCTACTTTGCCGTGATTCCTATGATCCCCAAGTGTACCTTATACTAAGAATCTGAGGGTGCTCCGTATTTTTGTGTCTGGTAGGACCTACCATTGGGATGAGAGATCCGTACGAACAGAAATAGATTGTCGGACCAAGCTTGGATCGAGTCGAGACAAACCGAGCATGAATTTCTGCAACCGCAGAGACCGTTTACGAAGATGTGCGATTGAAAATTTACGATTTTACCCTGACCGTGGGAGACGATGATGTCCCGTGACTGCAGAGGATGTCCAAGATTGTTTTTACTCCGGAAGATATGGATGATTTTGCCAAGACCACAGATGATGTTCTCGATTTTGCCGTGACCTTCGAAGACGTTCATGATTTTTCCATGACTACGGAAGATGTTCTTAATTTTTCTATGACCGCAGAAGATGTTTACGATTTCGCCATGATCACACACGATGTTCTCGATTTTACAGTGGCCGCGGTAGATGTTCATGATTTTCACTACTGAAGATGTTCTCAATTTTGCTGTGACCGTAGAATATGTTCTCTATTTTACCGGACGGTTTTTACGGCTTCGTTGACATTGCAGAACGTATTTTTACGCTTCACCGAGATCGTGGATTATGATTAGGATTTTACAGTGATCGAGGAAGATGTTCTCGATCTTGTCATGGACGTGGAATATCTTCTTAATGTTGCCGTGACCTCGGGAGGTGTTGACGATTTCGCGGTGACCACGGATGACGATGGCAATTTTACTGTGACTGCAGCCTAAAACTGGTTTTCCCAGTGCAAGTTCAAAATTTCCGCTTAGTTCCTGATTTAACAAATATACGCAAACCTCCCAGGATTCTCAGTCTGTATGGTCAGCCTGGTAGGGTATCAAAGGGTGGGCTCGAGCCCCCTCTTGCCCATATGGATGGACACCCATGTCTGACACCTAGAGGGCCATCCCCCTGAGGAGGTAGCGCATCACTGAATAATGTCTTATGATTTTAATGCCCAGTAACTTTGTACCGAGTTTTGAAGCTCTATGTTTATTAATTTATGAAATATTTAACCGTCCCAGGACTTTTTTATAGCCTGTATATTGCCCTTACACTATTAACATTTTCAATTCTTTGAATTTGTTTGGCAGTTTCTTTGTGTTCTAATTTCAAAATTATTCTGATTGCTATGTTTTAAGGTTTAAGTATCCTATCCAAATTTGCTATTGTAGGACAGCATTACTGTAGGCGAGAGTTAAGAAGTCCCCTGAGCCCTGGCCTATTCTAAAAAGGCAGGCGCTTGCTACTCGACGGCTCGACGCGTGCTCATGTTCCACACGGCAGTCAGTCAGGGCTCACATCCACAGGGTTAAAACCAAAACAGACAACTGTGATTTTAATTTATTTTTAGTACGCTCTGCCGCTTTTTTGATCGAAACTGATAAAGCTCTTTCTTTAACTGCATTCTTTATCACAAACTTCAACCAATCTACGAATTAAAGTTTCTCTCCACACTGTGAATTGTTGCCCCACGTTTCCTAACGTTTTCCATAATAGTAAATCGCAAAATACCCTCACTGTAAGAATACTTTTGGTGCCTGAAGCAATGGAAGCGATTGTCACTGTATTACTCATCTGTTGTCGATGTGACAAGTATTCGACATGATTCACTCTGTGAAATGTCACTCCCCCGTGCTGAGAGAGGGTGGTGAACCTGCAAATACCGCGCGGCAACATTCCAACATTGCTGCATTCGCTCTGGCTCAGAGGACTTCTTAACTCTCGCCTACAGTATATGCCTGAAATCATGTTTAAGCACAAAATATATAAAAACACTATTTCCTATATAAATCACTTTGTATTACTGTACTATGTTAATACAAATCATTTTAATTTTTTATTACCTATTTGGCACCACTAAAAAAATACACCGTAATATAGATCTTTCCTTACAATACATTTGAACTTACCTGTGTCAGAGTGAAGAGTTGTGTGAGAAGTTCGACCGTAAGGACCATTCGGGACACTTCCTCTAGGAGCCTCGTTTGTAACCACCAAGTTAGGTGGGGCTCGCACTCTATGGGGGTTGAAGATGGTGGGGATGTCTCCCCCCTCCCCTCTTGTTGTTTCTCCCATTGCTGTATCACAAATTTGTCTCCCTTTGTCTGTAGTACATTTTTAGTTCATGTTATTTCGGGGATGACTGAACATTTTTTATAGTTCAAAACTGGACCCAGCTGTATTCATTGTAAGTAATTGTATTTCATTGAGCTTTTGATAAATAATGGTCCTATACACTCCTGACTAATGAAACAGTCAGTCAGTAAGCTACACAAGGCATCTCACAAATGGTTAAATGCACTCAGGTGGGGTTCCCATCTAAATTAGTAATACAAATAATTTAATATTACGATTAGTAAAAGACAAGTTCTCATTCTAGGCTTTCCTTTGTGATTTTCCAGCTTGTCTGGTTTTTTTTTCTAATCTTGTTGTTTTAGGTAGCCTACTATTTCTTTCCTAAATCATATAACATTACAGATCCCAAACCATTATGAAAACTTTCGATCGTTAACTTGATGTATCGTGGAAAATGTTCACAATGATTCCTAAAAATAACATCAGACATAAATGTTTTGTGATATGATCAAAACTAAAAAACAAATTATGATTTTTTTTCAAGCACTAACCATATCTTTTTAAATTTGTAAATGGGGAACAAACTATAACTTTAACTTATATTCAAGTCTTAATTTAGGTAGGCCTACTTGTTTTTTTACTGGTTTACTGTTTTAATTTTTTTTATTAGAGATCTTTAACCCTTTCAGTGCTATGAAACGATATATCGTTGTTTTAAAAAAACCCTAAGGGATATAGAGAGGAAGGTTATTTTTAAAAAAATAGCAAAACGGCCATTGGTGACCTGCATGTTCATAGGATACACTACCAACCACTTAGCTTAAAGATTCGCCCAATCCGATGATTTCGAGGTGTATGTCTAAACCAAGGATTATGAACACCTCACTATGCCCCAGTGGTTGTAGTATATCGCTACAAACACACAGGTCACCAATTATTTGCCACACAGGACGGGATTCGAACCCGAGCAGACGAATGCCACTGGCCAAGTGACACACGCCCTAGCCTTCTCGGCTATCTGTGCTTGAAGACTGGGGAGTCAAAACCCGGTATTTAAGCTGTCGCCACCGATTGCGAACAGATGGCGCTGCAGATGGTTGTTCAATGCGTTACTAGGTAGCAGCACCAGCTAGTCACGGACTATTTAGATGCAATCTTTTAGTTTTAGTAGTAGTAAATGTGTTCCTGAGACTTTGCTGCAAAACATTAGTTTCCCTAAAATTGCTATATTACAATAACCTCGTCCAACTAAATCAGGGTTAAATTCAATATTACATTGTAAACTATATGTCTTTTGATTTTGTGAGATTTCGGTTTCAAATAATGCTATCAGAACATAAAAATGTATAGGAAAACCAGAAAAATTACAACAAAAACTAAGTTTTATTTGATGTTTACTACAAATACCGGGATTTATCTTTCTTATATATTTTCTTATTGTGTTATTATTCAAAATTAGCCTAATTAACCCTTAGAGTGCCAGGCAAGAAATAAAAGTAACGCTAAAAAAATGCCGATGATTTTTCCCGAAGGTCGCGCTAAAATGCCGAGCGCGATCTGGCGATTTTTAGGTTAAAATTTCGTAAAAATCGAATTTTCGATATTTCGACCAACAAAAATCGATGTATTGCATCTAGTAACTTTCGACTCGTCAATGTTAATATATGGGTTAAAAGAATCCGAGTATCCATTCGGTTGTTATGACAACTGTTCAATCATTACGAAACGTCCGGTCAGCCGGACGTTGGCACTTTTGGCTCGTTCTAAAAACGTCCGGTCGGCCGGACGTCGGCACTTTTGGCTCGTTTTAAAAACGTCCGGTTCCCCGGACGTTGGCACTCAAAGGGTTAATAAAATAGTGACAACATGACAGTTAAAATTCAACAACGGGTAATGGAATTAAAAGGCAAACAAAAAAGTCTTACAAAATATGAATTATTGGCCTAGCACTGAAAGGGTTAAAGTCTTAAAATTAAAGGTTATAATTGTTTGAGGGTACTGGAACTTTCCAATTAGTTCAACTCAGGATAGTTTTGCCTCATGTACAGTTTCATTGGATTTTATAATGGAATATTCATTATTAAGTGTTTTCCTTTAAATAGTTGAGAGTAAAATATAACTTTTTATAGGTAGTAAGTTTAAAATTAGACGCTGTCTATTTGGCTCTGGCTGGTCAAAAACTAAGAAGGAGTGATTAATTAGCCAAGCCGGGTTCCCACGGGACATGAATTTTTGCTCTCCGATCATCATGCTGGCCAAGCTTCATAGTCAATCTTTTGGATTTAGTTTCCGGCCCTTCAGAAAGTCAACGATAGCAGAGTGTTTGAGAGTTGTGCGTGCAGTTGTTCAGTTTTTAGTACAATTTTAGGCAATTAGTAGACAAGTTGAGACAACGATGGCAGAGCATGTTGTTGAGAGTTGTAAGTTACTGTTGTAAGTTCTGTCTTAAGTGCATTTCATCTGAAAAACTGCGGTCGCGGAAAGTAATTAAAAAAAGAAGAAACTGCGGTTTTGGGTTGGAAAGTGGATGCTAGAAAGGGATGATTCCTGTTTGCTGCATTCCTCAAAACATGATCTTTGTAGCTTTGCATCGTACAGTAACCGTTCTGCAGTGTACAGTTCCAGAAACTTTAAAGTTTAATTTTCATGAAAATTCATTACACGCAATCCCAATGGCTCCAACAGCACTCCCTTGAACTTGTACAACTCCATCACACTAACACATCACTTTAAACTACCGCCAAAAAACAGCCAGGAATGCAAAAATGTTAGCTGCTCACACCCAAATATTAAACCTCTTTAATCCGCGTTCTTAGAACTTAATCACACCTAGACGTCACAGGAAATTCACTCCGCGTCGTTCCCACAGAGCGAATTGTCACGAATGGCAACGGGGCTTTAGGGATTTTTAACTTGTTGGCTTAGCAGGGTCAATTTCTAGGATCGGATCTGGTTCTTGGCATAAAGAAGCTTATTACGGTACCTATAGATAATGTATTCTTCATTCTTCTGTTACAAAATTTAATACTAGTAGATTTTTACAAGAACGGTTTACATTTTAAGTGATACTTCCAATGGATTTATATGCGTAATAGTAACTTAGGTAGTTTTGTTAGTTTTAATGTAGTTCAGATTTCAAGAATTGTATTTGTCGTTAGTCAAATACAATGACACATTTGAATCATTGTCAGATACCTATTTAAACTAAATATAAAATCTTTCTATAAAACTAAATATTTTACAAAAATATATAATAGGTACAAATTGTAGAGCGAATCACATTTTGGGAATTATTATTAATCAAAAAACACCATTTTCATTTTTGTTGGCTTAGGCCTATGTCTTAACGTATATTTGCCATTGACAGTTGTTTAGAATATCCTACATACGTTTAAATTGTACCTAATAAAAAACGTGATTAAAATATGACCCCCCCCCCTCCCAAATGTATTTTAACTCTCTTTTTTTACTCTTGTCAAATGCAAAATGGACTTTGAGTTTATGCAATCTAATCTCAATTAATATACTAGATATTAGGTATGTTAATAACATATAAATAAACTAAATACTCCTAACTAAAACAATTATGTAAATACAAATCGTTTTTAGATCAAAACAAAGGAAGTAATTTACATAATCTACAAAGGCCATTCAAGCCACAATGACACAAGTAACAATAATTTGCACATTTCGTACCTTTAAGTATTATTAGCACTGCAAGTCGTACCAGAAATGGTCTGGGTAAGCATAGAATGCTCTACTGCCAAGGGAATTCGCATTAAATTGCGGTAAAGTCATTTTTCGCTAATCAAGTGGTTTCAAGCAAGGAAGGGTGTAGAGATAAGGGGTTCTAGAATAACTTTAACACTACTGTCAGTCTGTCACTGTCTTCTGGCTCCCTTCCACCCCCTGACGACAGCACTAGCGCTAACAAGGGCGGAGCTAGGAGCTACGTCGATATGATATAGGTGACATGCGCACCATATACCACCCTTTCATAATGCGATATATCAATGTATCCGATCATCGAGAGTCGCTTCGGAGTACCGGTCCTTTGTAAAATCACCATCATAGAATAAAACTACGAACTAAATTGTATGCCCAGGTACCGGTAGGCCTACTTATTTGGAAAATAAAAACTGCTCTTGTAGCAAAAACTAAACTGGTTTGAGAAAACAATTAATTATAGACGATGAGGATGAATGTATCCTGGAAAGGTATTCTGCTAAAACCCCTGGTAAATCGTTATTGATTATGATTACTATAGTAGATTGTTGTATTATTACGTCTTAAGCCAAGTCTACTTCTATTTACGACGACATTGAACCATATAAGTAATAAACTATAAGCGTTTAATGTTGTCAACATTTACACTAAAGTGGTGGGAGGATAATCAAAATGGCAATGGTATGGTATTGGTATTATGATGATTGATCGCACGAAAGTCGATTCAGTAACCGAATGAGCTTATCGTTAAATCGAAGTTATCGATGTTTTGAAATGTCCAACGTCCCGCTTCATTGCCCTATATTTACGTTTACATACACCTTGTACTTGATTGACGGGTCTAATCCGATAATAATGAGAGTTTGAACTAAACCTTTTTTGTACCCGTCCCAAGGTCTTCATTATCATTTTACAAGGTCAATCTCTTCTCTTTTATAGTATTTCGAAAGGCAATAAACCTGTTTGGATACGTAACAAACATCTTTTGATATTTGTGTTTTTTAAGTTCTAAAGGGAATAAAATGATCTTATGTCTTATACTTCATACTTTACTTCATACTTCTTGTCTTCAGCTTTAACCAGCAGTTGCTGGATAGATGACTAAACTACACTATACTAATAATTAGAACTGTGCAGTCTATCGTCACAAAGAAAATAAAAACTAAAACTTTAGTTTAATGTTTACTTACAGATTGGCGGCAGAGGATTTATAGCTTTTTGATCTCTTCAAAAAATTCTTCTATAGGGTAGAGAGGCGTTTTTTAAAGACGTTTCAACTGTTTGCTTAAACTTGCGGGGATCAAGATCCTTGGTACTAGCTGGCAATGTATTTACTGTATATAGTTAGTTTCAATTCTAGTATCGGAAATAGTTATTTGTGCAACTAGTGAGAAAAGTGAGCAATTGACTCACTCGAGAGAAATCCTTCCTCACGGAATGGTTTCTCGAGTGAGGCAATTGTACTTTGAACTCGAGTTGCACATTATACTTTTCCTACAGTTACCATAAAACAAATAAATTTGTGAAGAAACATAACCTACTTTTACACAGAAGTGAACTTTTAATATAGCATTTAATGTGAAGTGACAAATACAACAGTACAACAGCTGACCAGCTGATTTACAGCCAGTGCTGCCAACGTATTTCGCGCGCATACGACGTTGCCTGCATGCTACGCGCTCACTATTTCGTGTCTTCACGTTGCAAATCTGGAGTGAGACAAAGTAATTGAGTGAGACAATGTTAACATTGTCTTACTGATGAGCGAATTGGCCACTTTGCTTTCTCAAATCAGTGAGAGAACATGTACATTGTTAGGTAACTGTAGGAAAACAGTTTTTCTTCTTATTTAGCCTACAGAATGGCACATCGAGTTGATCTTACCTCCTGTTGTTGTAGGAGGTAAAGATCAACTCGATGTGCCAACATGCTCTTAAATATGTATTACATAATATAATGTGTAATATAAGAAGTTTGTATTCATCAAAACTCCATATTCACAATTTATATTGGCATTTTAAAATTTTTGTTGATTCTATCACTATCTTTGTCCAGCAAGTAGTATTTAAATAATGTGCAGAGTTACATCGTTTTAGCAGAGAGGCCTAATAATTTTAAGAAAACAAATTGGTTTCACAGGTAGTTTTTTGTTTTAATTTTTGAAAGGGTTAAAAAGGGTGCCAAATTTTTTTTTCTTTTAGCGAATTTCCATATACAGTATAGGGAAGTAGCTATTACCGTAAGTGGCACAGTAAGACCTAGGCCCGAGACCGATTTACTTTTTCATTTTGATGTCCCCAGAGGCCAAAAACACCATTTATTAAAATGTTTATATCAAATCAAATCAAAATTTTCTTTATTCATTATGTACACATAGAGTACAGAATGGCGTCAACAAGTACTATTATAAACTAGTAAGTACAAGTATATATAATACAATAATAAATTAAAATTATAATCACTGTAAGAAATTAAATTAACTGTTACAGATGACATATGCTTAAAAAAATTCATTAAAACTGTACAAAGGTTTAACAATAATAAATGACTTCAATTTCTTTTTGAAGGACCCAAAATCAGTTATACATTTTATGTTTTCTGGTAATGAATTATAAAATTTGATGCCTGAATATGTTGGCTTCTTCTCATAAAATGTTAACTTATGTCTATTAAAACAAAAATTATTCTTATTTTTTTTTTAATAGACATATATATATATATATGTCCGTGAACACGATAACATGAGTAATTTTTGTCAGATTTTGATGAAATTTGGTTTTAAGGTGTTAGGCGGGATAAACTTGAATGAGTTTGTGAACCATCATGATCCGACCATGGTAACAGGGTTTTATGGGGTAAAAATTTGTCTTTCTCATTTTTGACACTCGAAACATAAAATTTCCCACTTACTATAAACCTTCTTAGAGGTTAAAAAACCAAATAATTTAGTATATCAAAGAGTTTTTTTTTTCGGATATTAGTGACAGAAAAAATTCAAACAATTTTAATTTAAAATTCCCATGTTATTCTTATGGAGAATATTGTAAAATGTAGTTTGCTTGTTTATGGATATATTTTGATCAATCTTGGCAAATTTATTCATCTTATACCAAGCTATTAATGTTTTATTAAAAACACACTCTTTATTAATTTTGTTGTAGCAGCAAACCTAGGTACTCGTTAAACCTAATGTTTTTTAAATTTAATTGAAAATCAATTCAGACATATGGAAATTCGCTTAGTCGGCAGGTTTGCTGCAGCGGGGGTATTTATTTACTATCTGTAAATTTAATAACATATACTTATTTACTTATTATATCCTAATTATAAATTTAAAAACGTTTAATAGTTAATATCTCAAAAACCATACAAGATATTGGAAAGTGGTAAATTACAAACTTGCTGGCAATTTCATAAGCTTTCATTTTGTTACCATCATTTCGCTTGGACCCATGGTTTCCGAGATTTCGGCACGGAAAAATTAACTTCAAGCCCCCCCCCCCTCCCCCACAGCACAAGGGCTAGAGGTGGGGACTTGTGGTATGTTTCTTAACTATATGAAACAAAAATAAGAAGTCAGAAATTGTGTTCCAAACATTTTCCTCTTTACCCTTTTTTGAGCATTCGTTGCTTGGACCAACTATGCGGACAAGTTGTAAGTACCTACTAGGCATCCATCACATGCTATTGAGGTTATTAAAAACGTATTTTCAATCACAATTTTTTTCTTTCTTTTCCTTGACGTGGCTACCCCAGTGGCGTTTTTGTAATGAAGAAAAGTCAAACACTTTTAAGGGAAAGCGGTCCAAACCCATTAAATGTTTTGTTGATGTCCCAGGAATTGAACCCGTCCCTCAGTCACCGAAGTCAGATACGCTAACTACAGTACTGGCTAGCAACACAAATTAAACTGCTTATTTCAAATTTGTCCCTCTAAGGCAAATCTTTTTTATCTAATTGGTTGATTGCAGTAGATTGCTCATTATAGTAAATAATTTAAAATCCATCATGCTGCGTTAATTTAATTAAATAGAATTACTAAATGCATCAATAAATTGTGATCTTAATATGTGTGATGCTCATTTAACCCACTTACATTTCTCAATCACATTCAGTTGTCCCAAATATGTAGAACATTTCCAACTCCTACTTAGAATATATTTTTTTGTTTCAACTATATCATGGTATTTGCACAATTCAACTTTTTACAACACTTCATAAACCTAATCCTTTTTTTAATACGTGAAGAGGATTTTTGCCCAAAAAAGGTTGTGACTTGTGAATCAACAATTTATCAGATTATTATGATTTTTTATTGAAGGGAAGATAACTTTGAGAGTAAGGGAATGTCAAAGCCATAATTTAAATTTGGAGTTTTAGTTTTTCAGAAATTTTGTTTTTTTTTAGCGTATTTCCCCTGTAGGGAATAAGCTATTACCGTAGTACTCATAGTAAGACCTGAACCCGGGACCGATTTACTTTTTCGTTTTGAGGTCCCTAGAGACCAAAAACACCATCCGTTCAAATTCATATACATATATATATTTATATATGTGTCCGCTGTCGGTTAGCGCGATAACTCAAGCAAAAATCATCCGATTTTGATGAAATTTTGTACAAACATGCAAACCTACGTTTATTCGAACGAGTTCGCGAACCAGCATGATCGGACTATGGGAACAGGGGTTTATGGGGGGTTTTATGGGGCAAATTGGTTTTTCCCATTTTTGACCCTTAAAACTTAAAATTTAGCATTTTCTTTCCAAACCATTTTGTAGAGTTTAAAAAAACAAATAATTTAGTATATTGAAGCGTTATTATGCGCCTAATGGTTACAGAGAAAATTCCAAAAAACTGTAAATTTAAAATTCCTATGTTATTCTAATTGGAGAATAAGTAAACTGTTGTAGTTTGCTTGTTTATGATCATATTTTGATCAAATTTGGAAAATACATTCATTTAATACTAAACTATTAACATTTAAAAAAACACACCTTTTTACCCTCACTTTTGCAGCAAACCTAAGTACTCGTTAAACTAATGTTATTTAAATAGGGAATAATGTGATATTTTTAAGGAGACATTTTAGTGTAAATCCAATCAGGCAAATGGAAATTCGCTTAGTCTGCAGGTTTGCTGTGGCGGGGGTATTTTGAAGTCTAGCAGTTGCCACTTTCATTTCAAGTTTGTTTCAGTGTAATCAATTTGGTTTAAAAGCTACAGGTAAATTTAAACTTCCAGATAAAGACAAAGAGTTGTTGAGTAAATGTAAATTAACTAAACAGTTAGATAAAATCCAAAAGGATTTTAACATTAAGTAGCAGCTGGTTTAATGTTCAGCACAATATGTAACCTAATTGCGTAAAGATAGCAAATTCATTTATGATTTTGAAGGTTTTCATGGTATTATGGGAACTATGTTCAGTTCAGGGACACTGAATTTTCTTTCTATAGGAAGGACCCGGAACGAGTACAGCAGCTAGAGTATTTATTTTAATATGGGTTCCAATATTCAGGTAAAAACCACAATGTATAAATAAGTTTTATTGTGAATCACTAGAAGAGCTGCTGCTAGAGTCAGTTGACATGACTTCCACATCCTCCGCATCTTTGTTGTGGTTGCGGGTGTCCATCGGTACAGAGCCTTGACCTACAGCCATGTGGATCTCCCCTGAGGGATGCCATTGGAACTGGTTCTGCTGAGACGCAGGTGGGGCATCCGCAGGTCGCAGCATGTCTGGCATGTTGGCAGTCTGCTGCATCATGTGACCGTTCATTGGCATGTCATTCAGCCGTCCCAAGAACCCCAGCCGCATTTCTATATCTGAAAAATATAGCATTGTGCTAATAAGTTATTGTGAAGGCTAGGCATAATTATTTTGGGTAAAATGGGCCTTTCCTTTGCATAGTGTTTTGACTGCACTTCATTTTGGGAAGGGATATCCTCCCGTTTTCAAGTGGTCCTAAAAAATAATACAGGTAGAGACATTGAAGTACATTGAAAAGTAACAATTGGCCTATGGCTTAAGTTTGAAATTGTACTAAACCTTTGTGAATACCCTGTATTATAAAACTGGTTTTTAATGTTTTATGATTGCTAAATTTTGTCAATGTCATACTTGGGAATAACGAATAGAAATTCCAACGATTAGTGATATTCGTTAGTCATCTCGGCTAACTTCTATCATATTTGTTAATTTTGAAAAAGTACTGGAAATAACGTCTACTCAGTTAGATTCTAGCTATCGAATAGATAATATACTCGTTAGTATTTTTGGAGGTTAGATTTTTGGATAGACGGAAGTACCTCAAATACGAGTTTTTTGCACGTACAGTCTGGGTTGCGTTCAGTGCCCTTGGTCACAAACAACGCTGGGGGTGGGGAAAGGGAAAGTCCAGTTGCTTTGGTATGCACGTATGCAGTGGACCTGTGGTAGCCAAAAACAACACTGCAAGTACCGAGGGGGGGAATGTGGAATCTCAAAACAATGTCTTCATTTGATGTCCATTCTCTGACAAGTGTGAAGTTATTTTTTCTGTGGTAGCATCCTAGACCTGTATTACTCAACTCCCGATTAACCTGGATAAAATAGGCTTCCCGGATACGTAAAATCTAGTTTATCGGCAAAATACTATTAAATAGGAAAGTGTTTCTTAGTTGTCATATTTTAGTAATAGTTAAGTAATGGGTTTAGTAAGTTAGGTAATGTGACAATGATTAGTTATTAATAAACACAATTACAAGTTAGTTACTACTGAATATGTATATTAATAGGCAAGCATGTTTCTTTAAACCCTTTTTTCTCAGCTCGAGTACATCGCAGGGATAATCTATGCATATTGTTAGAAAAGATATTTGCCTGTTGTAGAGGTGCAGAATAACTTTATAAATTTAAATAGGCTCAAAAACAAGCACAAAAAATGAATACAAATTTTTTAAACTTAACATGGGCCTTATGGGTTGTCATGCTGGTGACGAAACAAAAAGAAATATATTAACAGAAAATCAAAACATATGGAAGAAATTCCAATCATATGTTTTATTTACAGCATGGGCTAAAAATATATGTCACATTACATATTTTTGGTCGAGTTTTCAACCACTGGACGACCTCTAGTTTAACTCAATAGGTAAACCTGCCCAAGAAACAGCAAACTTCTCCGAAAACTAACTTTATTTTCTATCAGTTAGTTTTTAACTAGGTAACTAATAACTTAAATCAGTTACTATTTTAACTAACAAACTAATAACTTCTATAAGTTACTTTTTACGGGGCTAACTATTAACTTTTAACTAGTTAAAATTTTTTACTAACTTTCCCAACTAAGTGGTAATGAAAAATTACCATTGATTTATTTTTGTTTACTCATTAAAATCTCCTGAATGTATTGATTCTCTTGAATGATTGGTCAACTTAAACTTAATCTCCGTTTTTTAATCCTGCACCTGGCAGCTAAAAATCTCTGAACTGACAGGCCATTTTTTATTGTATAGGTTTGTATAGGTTTATTGTATAGGTTGTATAGGTTACTTTAGAGCTGTATAAATTGTGTTCTACCATACAAAAGTATATAATACAAAAGAGAAATTAAATCAGCTACTTAACACAATACTACTTTAAGTCACAATATTTATCTATTCAGATAAATAAACTCGGACACAATGAAGTAAAATAAATTAAACTAAACTTAAGCATGTGGTCCTTAAAACCAACTTGTGGATCATCTATTTAAATAAAATTAGAGTTTTGTCTGTACATTGCTCAGAATTATATATTTTTAGGTTATTTTTACGTTTTATACATTAAAGAAGCAGAAACAAGTCCTATCTCTATTTCTGTCTGTCTGTAACGCTCAAGATGGCATTTTAAGCAATCTTCTCCGTGAAAACGACAGTACGGTACCTATCAAAATCCAAGTCATTTTAATGTATTCACTGGATGGATTGGCGAGAGTGTCTTTAGCGATTAAAATATGGCCTCACTACTTTGTAAATAAAATTACGGACGTTCAAAAATTCAGTTTTGTGCGATTATTGTCAGATTTTTGTTCAATTTTTATCGCAAATATTCGTCTATGAAATAACAAACAGCTGATCGGATCAAGATTATTTTTTCTAGCTGTCACTGATATGTTTACAAATGTTGTTTACAAATACCACAACCATTTTGAATCACGTTTTGAAGGCAAATCCCAACAAAGTGAGATTAAAAACGTTTTTCTTACATAACTGATTAAATTAATCGCATGTGCAATATCATAGTGTAACCGTCCAGGGCAGGAACCAGAAATTCTTTGTGTATAAAACTGTTCTTGAGTTTTTATAACAAGACAAAATACCTTAAATCAGTGTTGTATATGGCTGGGACACTTAATGATCGTCGCCAATAGCTTACAATAAACAAGGTTTCTACTCATTGACAGCGCTTCAATGACGATTGTGTAAAGTAAAAAATAACAACTGCAGTGGGTGATTGTAATAGAGGTTTACGGATGGTGCTAAACTCGCTCTTCCAATGTGTCACTTTCTGTTTCTATTCACCGTGTAATGCAATCGCTGGACCATACAGCCAATAGGCCCATAGCCCATCTCTTGGGTACGTGCGCCTACCTATTTATTCATCTAACAAAATTTTCGACGACGATCCTTGATACCAGTACTTTTCCATAGAATACCTGGCCTACCAACTTAAGAAATAAAATTACAAATGTCCAAAACCCAACATTGTGTGATTTTTGTCACTTTCAACTGACTACTATAAGATCCCCGTACGTAGAACGGGCACACAGCTAGTATATTGAAAAGTAAAGTAACAGTATGAAGTACAGTAGACTTCCTCTTAAATATAGACTCCTCGGGACCGAGGCATGTCCGGATAACGGGTTTTCCGGTTAAACCGACGTACCCGAAAACTCGTTAAAATGGACTGTTTACTGTGATATTCAACTTAAATTTAGGAGAGCATTGTATTTAGACACGTGATCACTGTTCTCAAATCTTTCCCACAAGAACAGTCGTTTCAGTACTGCCCACTTCCTGCCGATCTAGTCTGGTTAAACCAATGTGCTGATGGAAATTGTTTGGTTAAAAAGATGTAATTTCCGCCGAGTGTAGTCCGGTTAAACCGATGTCCGGTTAAACAGATGTCCGGTTAAAAGGTGTCCGGATAAGAGGGAGTCTACTGTACAGTTAAAAAGTACTTAGCTATGATGTTGTAATTATATTTTGTTTACACTAGGTAATAACAGTTCACTTACCAGTGGGGTAAGGTCTGCGGGGGTCCCCAGGTGCCCAGGATAGGGGAGCACAAACTGCATTAGACGCACTTATCCTGTGAGCATACTTTATCAGCTCTTCTGAAGGGACTGGGTTTTTGTTCGCTCTGTTGATTGATTGCAACTTCTGTTTTGCTTGGAATATCGCTGTAGCCTGTAAATTGGAAGTGTTCCCAATCAGCGGACTAGTTTTGACCGTAAACACTGGTGCAAATGTGTAATGGCTTTAGGTTCGTTCCCAGATTTGTATAGCTGTGGTTGTTTACTACCAGATGTTCGGCATAAATAAATGTTTGTACTTTGGCGGATTTTGGAATGTACTCTTTGACACATAAAAGCCCTAATCCTATTTTTTTATATCTCTGTTAAAATGTTTTTTGGGTTATTTCCTTTTAAGTCCTTTATAATATATTTACTTTAACACAATATGCCCATATTTAAAACTAAAATAAAAACAAATACCCCTGCTGCAGCAAACCTGCAGACTAAGCGAATTTCCATTTACCTGGCTGTATTTCTACTAAAATATTCCCTGAAAACTGTCAGATTTATTTCCTATCTATATACAGGGTGTTTCAGAATTTGTGTCGGATATTTTAGGGTATTGTTCCTGGGTAAGAAACAAATCCAAATATCATATTTAAATTGACTGGAAGTCCTTAGTTACTCACATGGCCGCCATTTTGTTTTTTTTCGCTTATTAATTGTTTTCTAAAAAATGGTAAGAGATACAAAATTGAAACTTTGCAAAAACATGTGTGACAACTAGACAAAGCTACAAAAAAATTATGAACATTTTTAAAATTCATAAAACAAAATGGCGGCCATTTAAAATTTTGTTTCTTAAATTACTCAAAAACCGTTGAGTCTACAAAAAACTTACAGGAATAACTTTTTTAAGATAATTTAATTACAAATCGATTGACACCTTAATCTTTAAGATTGGATGAATATTAACTGAGATATGGCACCTTTAGCAATACGTGACCGCTGTAGGTTAGATGTAGTGTTAGGCATGCGGCCTAAGTCTGCCACAACAATGCAACAGTCTGCGTCCGCTTTGAAAGTTATTTTTACTTTTTTTTTACTTTTTACACTTACTTTTAAAGTGTACTCTTACTGTATAAGGTTAGAGGTACTGACTACATTGAATAAACAATAACATCTTCAGACAAAATAAAATCAGCTGATTAGTTTGTAAACAAGTACGTTGATTTTCACCACAGCTGATTTAAAAAGTTTGGGTGTTTAGTGTAAAATTTAAAAACAGTAAAAAGCTGTGCAATTTTTAAGCCTTCCTAATGATTGATAATTGATAAAAAAAGACACTTTTTGGGGTTATGTAATATTTTATTATTGTTTGAAATAATCTAAAATCGTTTAAAAATAACTTTCAAAGCGGACGCAGACTGTTGCATTGTTGTGTACATCTAACCTCCAGCGGTCACGTATTACTAAAGCTGCCATATCTCAGTTAATATTCATCCAACCTTAAAGATTAAGGTGTCAATCGATTTGTAATTAAATTATCTTAAAAAATTTATTCTTGTAAGTTTTTTGTAAACTCAACGGTTTTTGAGTAATTTAAGAAACAAAATTATAAATGGCTGCCATTTTGTTTTATGAATTTTAAAAATGTTCATAATTTTTTTGTAGCTTTGTCTAGTTGTCATAGGCCCTACAAGTTTTTGCAAAGTTTCAATTTCGTATCTCTTACCATTTTTTAGAAAACAATTAATAAGCGAAAAAAAAAAAATGGCGGCTGTGTGAGTAACTAAGGACTTCCTGTCAATTTAAATATGATATTTGGATTTGTTTCTTACCCAGGAACACCTATCCGACACAAATTCTGAAACACCCTGTATAAAGCCCAAAGTATCCATGAACTTTTGAGAAAACTACAAGTCACACCCCCATAAACCATATAGGCCTACTTAAAATGTTCGTCATGAGAGAAACCTTGTGCAAAATTATCCATTATATTTCATAAATTGCCCTTTCGTAATTCCTTTCTAAAGGGAACTTTCCATATACCTAATGTTAAAAATACCTCAGCTGTACTTCATGTTTGTATTACTGTATTCTGTTTTGTTTATTTCAGCTTAACTTAACCAATCAATAATTGTATACTTATGAAGTCAAACGGGGTGAAGCCCGTGGGTAACAGCTAGATTTATTTCCTATTTAAATAACATTAATTTCAATGAGTACCTAGGTTTGCTGCTAGAGTGAAGGTATTAAGGTGTGTTTTTTATTGAAATTTTGATAGCTTAGGCCTAGTATGAAATAAACAAAATTGCCAAATTTGATTAAAATATATCCATAAACAAGCAAACTACAACAGTTTATTTATTCTCCATAAGAATAACATGGGAATTTTAAATTTAAAGTTTCTTTTTAACTAGGCTATCTTCGTAACTTAGGATACAAAATTATTTCTTTTTTTAAGCTCTACAAAATGGTCTGGAAAGAAATTGTGAAATATTATGTTTTTAGAGTCAAAAATGGGAAAAACCAATTTTTACCCCATAAAAACCCCCATAAACCCCTGATCCTATGGTCCAATCATGCTGGTTCGCAAACTCGTTCGAATTCACGTAGGTTTACACATTTCTACCGAATTTCATCAAAATCCGATCATTTTTGGTCAAGTTATCGCACTAACGGACACATGTGAATGAAGGTCATTCGCCTATTGGGTCTGATGATAATTGGAGTGTCCAATCGAAATCGATCACTACTTACCATCATTTATGTATATTTACTGTCTTGTGATAATTATAATTAGCCTATAACTGGTGAAATACATCTTAAATTGAAGTGAGAATTCAAAAATAAATCAAATTTATGTTTTTTGGTAGAGTAAACGATGCTTGATGTCAAATCTGTGCGTACATACCTTCAATTTGAGACCTCAATCATGAAAATCGGTCGTGTAGAAGAAGAGCCAAACGAACTCGGAAAAGAAAAACCAAATCTTTTCATAAGTTTAAATATAAAATTGAAGAAATTGCCGTGTTAAAACATTAGGCTATGACAGAAGAAGCTTAGATAAATACAGTTAGCCTACTCTATACTCACCAATATTTGTTCTGCTTCTTTTAAATGCCTTTGAAGTTGTTGGATGTCTTGATCTTGTTGTTCGACTTCAGTTCTTAACAGATCCATCTTCTGATTGATCTTTGCTTGATCCGAGGCCACTTTTAGGGTGTCTTTTAGCTCATTGTCTTTAGCAACCAGCAGAGCTGTTAAATTTTGTTGTTCTGGACCACTGAGTTTTTGATGTTTTAGAGCAATTGTGTTTTCTAATATTTCCCTGAAGCAAAGTTTATGTGTTGTTAACGGGCTTAGGCTTAAACTTATAACCTTAAATTACTGAATGGTGTGGCACAGAAAACGTACTACTATAACCCAGAATGCCAACCGCATGGTAAAAAGCATTAAGTGTTCTGAGAGAGCTTTGCCTGTCAATCCGTAGGCAGCGCCACCAGCGTTGCTATGCTATTGCATGGCAACGCTGGTGGCGCTGCCTATGGATTGACAGGCAAAGCTCTCTCAAAACGCCACCATGCGGTTGGCATTCTGGGTTTCATAGTTGGGAAAGTTAGTCAAAAATTCTAACTAGTTAGAAGTTATGAGTTAGTCCCGTAAAAAGTAACTGATAGAAGTTATTAGTTAGTTGAAAAACTAACTGATAGAAAATAAAGTTAGTTTTAGTAGAAATTAGTTGTTCGTGGGCAGTTGTTTTAAAGTATTTTTTAATGTCACATATTGGTTACTAATATATACTATAATATGAGTAAAGATTGCGCAAGATATGATTTTAAAAATGGCTCCTACGATTTCCTCCAATTTCAATGCTATTGAAAATTGCTTGTATAATACATTTGCATTGTATGATGTCTTACTAACCAAAGGGATAGTTAAGACTGTTCAAAAACATTAAGTGTTTTACTGCAAAACAATATACACTGATATTGAACTAAAAATCTAAAGGAAAGGCCAAGGAGATTTGTATTTTTCGACGATGCACCGCACGAATTGATGCGTTATTACACCATCCCGTAATTATAGTTGCAACGTTCCACGATCCCAGTGACTTAATGCAATAACGGTCGTCAGATAACAGATGTTAGGTATCATGAGTTTTATATTGATTGAAGCTTATTGTGGACATTTTATAGATTGATCGTTCAAATTAAAAAAGTTTTGTAGACTAAAATGAGGATAAGTGGATGTCTAACAAAAACGAATTGACTTTAATACTTAATTAATCGTAGTAAGACTGAAAATATTTGTAGGCTTATAAGCTCTATTTTTTACCTCTTGAACAAATCAAACACCTCGAGCAAGAGTGGTCCCCTGGTACTTGTGTTTTAATCAAACATTGTCACATTTTACATTACTACAACATAAACAAATGACATAAAACTTGTCAGATAATGAACATCAACTAAAGACAATGTTTTGACACTTGAGATGATATATCAATCACCAAACAAACATTTCCCCTTCCCACCCATCAGTGCTTGGGGTGTTGATAATGGCCGTCACTACCCTTCCACAGGCCCACTGCATTCCAAAGCAACTGGACTTTGACTTTCTCTTTCCCAACCCCCCGCATTGTTTGTCTACAAGGGCACTGACCTCTCACGGCCGCACGCAACCCTCACTGATCACGTGAAATAAATAACCAGTATTTGAGATGCTTCCGCATAATTGGGAAAGTTAGTTGAAAATTCTAACTAGTTAGAAGTTATTAGTTAGTCCCGTAAAAAGTAACTGATAGAAGTTATTAGTTAGTTAATTTAAAAACAAACGAATAAAATAGAAGTTAGCCAAAAAAACTAATGAATAGTGCTATTCGATTGAATTTCTATTTGTTATTCCCAAGTATGGTTATAGTAGTACGTTTTCTGTGGGTGTGGTTACAATCTATTTCCACAACATTCAAATTCAACATAGGCTACTTTTAAGTTAAATTAAGTTAAGTTACTTTCAGAAAAAGAATAAGATTAGCAAAAATTAACACTACAAACTTGGTCTTTAGGGTTTGAACGTGTCACAAATACTTGTAAACTTATGGTTTAGGACCTGATGTTTCGGCCTCGTTACAGAAAGCCAAATTGAAAAAGATGTCAGACACAAAGTTACTAGGCCTATTTGTGCAGACTGCAGTTTATAACTTATTGTTAGTTAACTTAATAGCAGTGCTCGATTAGAAAAAAATGAGGTAAACTTAGGGCCTACCAGAACTGCAACCTACGTTTTTTAACTTACAATGTGATTTGTAACTTACCTACCTTACTTAATTATGTAGATACCTTTTTATGCTAAATATTTAGCTTTCCGAAAGAAAAGTACCGTACCTCCCGTACCGGAACTCCGTTTTACCGAGTTCCCCCACAAATTGAGCACTGGTTAACTTAATAGTAACTTAATTGATGTTGGCCCTTTGAGTTATAAATTGCCTGGGTAGCCGAGTGGTTATAGTGTTAGACATTCTTGCCACCAAGACTGATAGTACTCAAATTTATAATAGGCAGCCTAGTCTAGAGGTTGGCTAGTTTCGAGTCAAAGATCCTTTTTAAAATCCACATCAAATTAGTTCATAAATACAACACCAGAAGTCTTCATCAATAAGTTACACAAACGCACGTCAATGCAAAAAGTTTATACTTAATAATCAAAAACATTAAAAATAAACGGTAGTTCGGCTGCATTTAGGTACTGGGGTACAGTTCATTTCATCAAGAAATTCAAAAATAGGGTGCAAATCCTATAATGCATCTTTACCATGGTTAGTAAACCTTCATTTGGCTATTAATAACTTACTTAGGCCTACTTACTTAGTTATAAGTTCTATGTCATTTATCAGTGAAAGAAGTTTCTCCCCAGTGCTTATATTACTCTGCCTTGCCATTTGTAGGTAGATAACTTTGACTTTTACAAATGAATTTAAAAAAAACACACTATTATCAACTAGGCTAGGCCTATTTTACCAGATAAAAATCATCATTCTCTATTAGGTAAGTTAGGCCTAATTATAGTTGAGAAAGAAAAGAAACACTCTTGATGAAAAGTTTCAGTAAATAATGTAAGCTCAAGAATTAAAAGACTATAGTAACAAAATCCAAATTCCAAACATTGACTATTACGTTACGCCATCATCATAATTGACTGTACTTGTTTTGGTTTGTTGTGTTTGTTTGTTCTTGTTGAGGTTAATCTGCACTCCAGTTTCATTCCAAATCCAACCAATCCTTTATTTAATCGGATCGGATCGGCTCGGATGTGTCGTGTCGGTTCAAAAAATCCGTTTTGAGTGAAGTTAGCGGTTCTTATTATTGGCGTTTTGAGTTTGACAAAAAAGTGATTTTTTTTTCTCGGATCACCCCCGGAAATGTTGGCTACCCTAGGAGGAACGCTGTAGTTTCATTGAAGCCAGCGTACTGGGGAGGGGGAGAGGCAGCGCTACTCTCCCGCTCCCCCTCTCATACTGCGTTGTATGGGTTATGGGAGTGGGAGATATGGTAACAGAAATATCAATTAACTATTTAAAACTAAAACTTAGACTACATCATGCTACGAAAATTAATACCCCCGCTGCAGCAAACCTGCCGGCTAAGCGAATTTCCATTTGTCTGAATTGATTTTCAGTTAAATATATTTTAATAACATTAGGTTTAACGAGTACCTAGGTTTGCTGCTACAAGGAAACTAATAAAGTGTGTTTTTGAGTAAAATATTGATTGCTTAGTACAAAATAAATAAATTTGCCAAATTTGATCAAAAAATATCCATAAACAAGCAAACTACAACATTTGACAATATTCTCCCTAAGAATAACATGGTAATTTTAAATTTACAATTTTTTTAATTTTCTCGGTAACTAATAATCGAACAGAAATACTTTTATATGCAAAATTATTTGTTTTTTTAAGCTCTTTAAAAAGGTCTTAAGAGGAATTGGGAAATTTTGTGTTTTGAGGGTCAAAAGTGAGAAAAACCAATTTTTACCCCATAAAACCCCCCGTAAAGCCCCGTTCCCATGGTCCGATCGTGCTGGTTCGCGAACTCATTCAAGTTTATCCCACTTTACACCTTTAAACCAAATTTCATCAAAATCGGACAAAAATTACTCAAGTTATCGCGTTCACGGACGTATATATATATATATATAAATCTATATATATATATATAAAAATTTGAACGAATGGTGTTTTTGGCCTCTGGGGACATCAAAATGAAAAAGTAAATCGGTCTCGGGTCTAGGTCTTACCGTGCCACCTACAGTAATAGCTACTTCCCTATAGGGAAATTCGCTAAAAACTTAAATTCTAACCATAATATTAGAATATAAAATAAGTTTTAATCCTTTAAAAGAATGATAAACGCACTTTGGCGTCAGAAGACGCGATGATTGTTGAACATTTTACACTACTTTTAACTTGAAGTTTCTTTGGGCAAACAGATCAAATATAGTTCAAAATGATATTAAAAAATCTAGAATTTGATTGTCAAGAAATTGTTTTACTTTTTATGTTTGTAATTTAATTGTAACGGCTGTTGGTGTAAAAAAAAGTTAGAGCGGCTTTACATTTTTTCTTAACTTTAGCTATTTAAAATCACCTGCCTATCACATAAATCCCTTAAAACTAGTAAAACATGGTATTAACAAATCGAGAGAACTATGAAAAATGCAAATTTAAAATGTATTTCACCACCCGAATTAAATTTTTCATTTTAACCTATAATTAGTAAGATTGTTTTATAAACTGGAAAAATAAAAAAAGATTTATTGTAATTATTTTTCTAAATACCACTCTTAAATATAGGTAAATATATATTTTTTATTTCGCGAAACTATTAAGGAATACGAATAAATTGTTAATTTGTATAGATACATCATATTTTGTTCAAAAACGTCATTAAAGTAATGATTTGTTCAAAGTCCAGGCCAATTCTTTCAACTTTGATCTTCAGTAATAAATAATAAACAATAGTTTTTATAGAAATGATTGACACCGTTCGATAGGAAATTTAATTTACTTTAAGAATGCCATCGGTGAATAACACAGGGTTTTAGTTTAGCGACAATTTTAATTCGAAACAGCGCGCGTCGCGTTTTTCCCTATCTCATCTCTCCCATGTTATAGCCGCGGCTTTTTGCCACTCTACGGCTCCGCGTGCCCCTCTAGTGTTCTGCTAAAGCTGGCTTCACCGCAACATGTGTATTCCTATTCGCGTGCCCTCTCCTTAATGTTTAATCCTCCTAGAGGCAAGGAGCAAGAAGCTTTTATTTCCTTAGTCAATGCTTCAACGAAACTACAGCGTGTCCTCTCCTCTGTTTAATCCTCCTAGGTTGTCGTTGTCAACCTTCGTTTGAGTTGACTATGAATGACTTTGACTACCACCACCATTATAGTGGGGAGGCGAATGGCCAAAATTCCAAAGTTGGCTCACCCCGAAAGGTAACCGGTGAACACTATGCTAGATGATATTGTATAGTAGTAGAGATGATATTTTGACCGGTGCTCACTCTGTATGAGTGCGACTCTCTTTTCTGGACGCCATTTTCCAAAATGGCGGATGGCACTGTTTGATCTTTGTATAACTCGAGCAAAAATGAACCGATTTTGATGAAATTTGGTATAAACGATTAAACTTACATTTATTCGAACGGGTTCACGAATCAGCATGATCTGGTCATGGGAGCGGGGGTTTATGAGGGTTTTATGGGGTAAAGATGGGATTTTCTTATTCTTTGCCCCCAAAGCACAAAATTGTCCTATTTTTCTCTAAACCATTTTAAAGAATAAAAAAAAACAAATAATTTAGTATAATAACGTATTTTTGTACCCTTATTGGTTACGGAGAAAATTCAAAAAAGTGTTAATTATTTATAATTCCCATGATATTCTTATGGAGGATATCGTCAACTCTTGTAGTTTGCTTGTTTATGGATATATTTTGATCATACTTGGTAAACTTATTTATTTATCCTAAGATATTAATATTCTACTAACATTCACGCTTTATTAGCCTCCCTGTAACAGCAAACCTAGGTACTCGTTAAATCTGTTATTTAAATTTAATTAATTTTAAAACGAATCAGGTAATTGGAAATCCACTTAGTCTGCAGGTTCGCTGTGACGGGGGTATTTTATTCTTGACATTTCTTCATATACCTAGTGGTTCAGGAGATATAAGCAGTTAAAGTTGGGGTTTCCTCCATGTTAATTAGATTGATCCGTTTTAACTGTCACCCTAATGTATCCCGTTGGGCCTTTGCACTTTTCTATATACACAATTTATCTTCTATTTTTAAAATAATGGACCTCAATACAATGAGACATTAAATTAACTTTTATTTAACAATAATTAACTATAATTAACAATAATTAACTTTTACTATACAATATCATCTAGCATAGTGTTCACCGGTTACCTTTCGGGGTGAACGCTACACGTTACGCAAGAGCGTGTTTACATCACTTAAGCTGGGTTTTCCTAGACGCGGAGTCGGCGAGCGGAGAGAGGAACGCGGAGAGCGGAATTGAAAATTAACATGGCATTCCGCTCCGCTTCTAGGAAAACAGTAAAATTAAATTGCCTAAGACAAGTGGAGTCCGCTCTCCGCGTTCCTCTCTCCGCGGCTAGGAAAACCCGGCTTTAGGTAAATTATGCGTGATGTAAAAACGCTCTTACTACACTTGTAAGGTAATAGCTATTTACCTTACAAGTGTAGTAAGAGAGTTTTTACATCACGCAGGTGAATGTTGTGCAACTAGCGGAAGTGAGTTGCATAATTTACCGAAGTGATATAAACACGCTCTTGCGTAACGTGTAACGTACAAGATTTTACCTGACCCGACAATATACAGGAGGTTATGAACAATATTTTTCATTATCCATTTCACTCATCTTCTAACAGTAACGTTTATTTACAAACAAAAGCTAGGTTAGGAAAATTCTTCAAAACATAACAATAATATTCAAGCGCGCAGCTGATTTCTAGCGTTGAACGTCGTTGGCTCCAAAGAGGTAATTTTTTAAGTTAAGCACTCAATGTTATTTAAATGGGTTTCATTACATCACTGAGTGAGTTTTCTTCAACTTTACATCACTCGAGAAGTAACGAAGTTATATACATCACGCTTGGGATAGGGAAGTTTAACATGGCGGATTAGGTAAATAGTCCAGGACCTGACTAGGGTTCTGTGTGCATGTCGTGTATAGTGAATTTTACTTTTGCATTTCAATATAGGTGTCTTAGGAAGTGTTTTCCACTCGGGTGTCAAGTTCGCACCTGGTACGTTTTCGAGCTATGACGTCATCAAGATGGCGGCTCAGCAATTTTTGAATGCGTATATTTCGCGAACCGTTTAATGGATCAGGATGATTTATTTTTTGTTTGAAAGATATTTTTACACCCTATCTTTCTTGTATTTACACTTTTGTTGTAAACTTAATATTTATCTCACTATATTAAAAAACGTGTTTTTTATTATTATTATATTTATTGTTTTGCTTATAACTTCTTAACCGCTGATAAAATCAAATACCACCCATTGCAAAAGTTGCAGATGATTCTATACCCTTTCCAATGATACCAAACAATATGTGATTAGACCTAAAGATAAAGCAAAGAGATTGAATAAATCGTAAACGAACACTGAAAGTGGTGTACGTTCCGGGAAAGATTTAGTCCTGGACATGACTAGAATTCTGTGTGCATGTCGTGTATAGAGAATTTTGCTTTTGCATTTCAATATAGGTGTCTTAGGAAGTGTTTTCCACTCGGGTGTCAAGTTCGCACCTGGTACGTTTTCGAGCTATGACGTCATCAAAATGGCGGCCATTGATTTTTTTAAATCGTATATTTCGCAAACTATTTGTCGGATCGGAATGAATGTTTTTTTGTTTGAAAGATAATTTTAAATGCTACCTGTTTTACATTTACACATTTGTTGTATGTTTAGTACATTCTTCGTAATTTTGCAAAAACCTGTATTTTTAAATATTTTTGAGTTGTTTTTGTTTGTAACGTTTTATTGATACAATTTATCAAAAACCACCAATGAAAAAAGTTGTAGAACATTTAAAAATCTTTACAAAAATACCAAATTCGATATGTTTTACTCAAAAGATTACGTCAAGAAACTAGATAAATCTCATAAAAACACCAATTTTGGCGCAAAAACGCCTATTAGTCCGGCCTCTAGGGCAGTTCGCAAGTCTTATAAAAACAGTTTCGCCATTCAATGTTGATGTACGTGTCTAAATAAGGGTTTTCAACTCGGGTGTCACGTCTGCACCCACTGCAGTTTCCGGTTATGACGTCATTAAAATGGCGGAAAGGGCTATATTAAAAATAACGATATTTTACATACCATGTATTGGATCGGAATGAACTTTTTTTTGTTTGAAAGATAAGTTTACATGCTATCTTTCTTACATTAGCACTTTTGTTGTATGTTTAGTACATTCTTCGTAATTTTGCAAAAACCTATATTTTTAAACATTTTTGTGTTATTTTTGTCGATAACGTTTTATTGATACAATATATCAGAAATAACTTAAAAACAAAGTTGTAGCACGTTAAAAGAGCTTTACAAAAATACCAAATTCGATATGCTTTACTCAAAAGATCACGTCAAGAAACTAGAAAATCGTACAAAACAACCTAATTTTGCGCAAAAACGCATATAAATCTCAATCCATGCAAATGGAAATTCGCTTAGTCGAAAGTATTGCTGCACCGGGGGTATTTATATAGTGGAAACATTCCTATGGACTAATTACATTGATTTGTTGTGCTTTTATTTGCATAAAAGAGGGTAATGGTCTTATTTTAAGTAAAATAGCTGGTGAAATCGTAACATGTAGCAATTTTTAAGACATCATAACCGGAAACTGCAGTGGGACCAGACGTGACACCCGAGTTAAAAACACTTCTTTAGACACATACATCAACATTGAATGGTAAAACTGTCTATATATGACTCGAACACAGCCATCGATGTCGGATTTATATGCGTTTTTGCGCAAAATTAGGTTGTTTTGTACGATTTTCTAGTTTCTTGACGTGATCTTTTGAGTAAAGCATATCGAATTTGGTATTTTTGTAAAGCTATTTTAACTTGCTACAACTTTGTCTATAAGTTATTTCTGATATATTGTATCAATAAAACGTTATCGACAAAAATAACACAAAAATGTTTAAAAATATAGGTTTTTGCAAAATTACGAAAAATTTACTAAACATAAAACAAAAGTGCAAATGTAAGAAAGATAGCATGTAAACTTATCTTTCAAACAAAAAAAAGTTCATTCCGATCCAATACATGGTATGTAAAATATCGTTATTTTTAATATAGCCCTTTCCGCCATTTTAATGACGTCATAACCGGAAACTGCAGTGGGTGCAGACGTGACACCCGAGTTGAAAACACTTATTTAGACACGTACATCAACATTGAATGGCGAAACTGTCTTTATAAGACTTGCGAACTGCCCTAGATGCCGGACTAATAGGCGTTTTTGCGCCAAAATTGGTGTTTTTATGAGATTTATCTAGTTTCTTGACGTAATCTTTTGAGTAAAACATATCGAATTTGGTATTTTTGTAAAGATTTTTAAATGTTCTACAACTTTTTTCATTGGTGGTTTTTTATAAATTGTATCAATAAAACGTTACAAACAAAAATAACTCAAAAATATTTAAAAATACAGGTTTTTGCAAAATTACGAAGAATGTACTAAACATACAACAAATGTGTAAATGTAAAACAGGTAGCATTTAAAATTATCTTTCAAACAAAAAAACATTCATTCCGATCCGACAAATAGTTGGCGAAATATACAATTTAAAAAAATCAATGGCCGCCATTTTGATGACGTCATAGCTCGAAAACGTACCAGGTGCGAACTTGACACCCGAGTGGAAAACACTTCCTAAGACACCTATATTGAAATGCAAAAGTAAAATTCACTATACACGACATGCACACAGAACCCTAGTCAGGTCCTGGACTAAAATAGCTATTACATATTTTACTAAATTTGCCTCCCCACTACCAGGCACCAACACTGACCGAAACGGCACACGGAAGATTTCTCAGGTGCCGTTTGACGTCACTAACTGCTGACGATATAAAATAAGTTTTAATCCTTTAAAAGAATGATAAACGCACTTTGGCGTCAGAAGACGCGATGATTGTTGAACATTTTACTCTACTTTTTACTTGAAGATTGCGGGCTGATAATCCGAATGTTCCGGGTTCGAATCCCGCCAATGGCACTAACTTTTTTCAACATTTTTTTCATATCAGCAAGTTTGGTTGGTTTGGTTAGGTTATGACAGTTTAATAATTAAATTTTAGGCAATTATAATTTTATTTTATGAACAAAACTATTTTTTAGATTAGTAAACCTTTATTAGATTTTTCCATTATCAGCACGTTTGGTTAGGTTATGACAGTTTAATTTAATAATGGAAAATTATACAATTGTCTGTTTCTTCAGACGCAGCAGTTAGTGACGTCAAACGGCACCTGAGAAATCTTCCTTGTGCCCCACCACCAACACTGACACCACACCTCGAGAAGTAAACAATAAAGATAGACCGGTAGACTCAGCTGATCCGAATTGAATCTTGTTGTCTGTCACTGTCACTTGTCAGACACTGGAGGGAGACACTAGCACTAGACAGACTGACTGATCGAGGTTATTTTCGTTGAAAGCTTCCAAAGTTGTTCGCCTAAAGTTTACTTTTGAAATATTGTGCAACATCTATTTTATTCGTACAAATTGAATATCATGTCCTTATTTGCTAGGATCCTCAAGGTCACTGCAGAGCGAGGAGTTTTGATTTCGTAAGTATTTTATCAGCTACAAATAATTAATTAGCAAATAAATAATAAACTTAGTTTTGATGTTGGAACATGGTCTCGCAACATGATTGCCTCATTCGCCTGTTTCTGTTATGTCTTGTCTTGAGTATTGTCCATTCACTTTATTGAAGATTGAATCACCAAGTCATAGTGTTTTAAATATCTAAGGAAAACAATCTTAATATGAAATGTAGGCAATAATAAATTGTTGGTTACTTAACCCTTTGAGTGCCTCGAGCGGGTGAATAGTTATTTGTGCAACTAGTGAGAAAAGTGAGCAATTGACTCACTCGAGAGAAATCCTTACTCACAGGAATGGTTTCTCGAGTGAGGCAATTGTACTTTGAACTCGAGTTGCACATTATACTTTTCCTACAGTTACCATAAAACAAATAAATTGGTGAAGAAACATAACCTATTTTGACACAGAAGTGAACTTGTAATATAACATTTAATGTGAAATGACAAATACAACAGTACAACAGCTGACCAGCTGATTTACAGCCAGTGCTGCCAACGTATTTCGTGCGCATACGACGTTGCCTGCATGTTACGCGCTCACTATTTCGTGCCTTCTCGTTGCAAATCTGGAGTGAGACAAAGTAATTAGAGTGAGACAATGTTAACATTGTCTCACTGATGAGCGAATTGGCCACTTTGCTTTCTCAAATCAGTGAGAGAACATGTACATTGTTAGGTAACTGTAGGAAAACAATTTTATTTGAGGTTTGCCAGGCCTACATGTGGTGTTGCTTCTAGGAATGCCGACCATTTTTCCACATAAATGCAGGCGTTTAGGAAAATCGTTATAAAATACTTATTTATTAACATTTTTGGCCTAAATTTGTTTTGTTTTTTAAATTATTAGATCGTGAATTGTAAAATAATAATTTTAGTTGGGGTTTCATGAGCTAAAATAAAATATTTTCATAGACAAGACAGAAATATGGTGCACAGTTTATTCTCATTTTTAAAGTTTGAGTTAAAATAACCCAATTTAAAATTAACTTAAGTAACTTATTCATTGGAATTTAATTTTACATTCATTTTAAAAAGCATTAAAAACTAAAGAGAAATCATGTATAACAAATGTATTTAAGCTATTGTATTTGTCCAAAAAAATATGTAACATTTACTACAATGAGGTCTCGGAAAATTCTAGGCCCTACCCAGCAAACAACCTAAATCATGCTCTAAGACTTGTGTTGTTACAGACAAAACTATATCATTTTACATTTGACTATATTTTATGTTGTTATTATTATGTTTATTAATTCAAATTAGTCTTAGAATACTGTAGGCTACTATTAGAAGCCATGCACAAAATATACAAACGGTCAACATAAAATCATGCACCTTGGCCTGACTTACCAAGTCCAGTTACCGGGTACACACTTTATGTGATTAGCCACAAACTATCACCAAATGCACGATATTATAACTTTTAAATGTTAAAAATGTATTTTTCAACGATTCATGACCATAACCTGCGATTCTATAACCTAACAATTCGTAAACAAACATTTACTAGAACGTAAACAGTTGAAACAACAACACACGAACCAGCTGTGTAAAGTCGTCTAGTATTGCGTAATGGTTTTTGATTGGTTGACCACATTTCTCAGCTCCATTCTACAGTAAAAGAGCAAAATAGTTGTTGCCAACCTCCTTCTGTTGCATTTGGTGTGATTTGCAGCCAGCTTTATTGAAATGTGATACTGTATGAAGTGATTTTCTGAGCGTCTCGCTCCGAGACGCCGGCAGTACTCGCGCAACCTCGACCGTCTCGCTATGAGACGCTCGGCACTCAAGCTACGACAATAGTGCGTCTCGGAGCGAGACACGACGGCACTCAAAGGGTTAAGTTAATTCTTAAGTTACCTTTCCAGTAACTTAGCCTTCGTAGACTTCCGTATCTGTTGTAAAAAACAACCGAATGAAAATATCCATCGATATATCGATTATTTCATTCGATATAGGTATCGTTTGGTTAACCTTACCTAACTAATAAAACGATATATTGAATTAAATTACCGTATCGATATATCGAATAATTTTCATTCGGTTGTTTTTTTACAACAGATACGGAAGTGTACCCCTTAGCCAAACTTACTTGCTCGGAAAATGAATTTTTTTCAAAACGCTTTGATTTTGAAAATGCAAAATGTTGGAAAACGACAGAAGACGGAAAACAACATTTTTGCGGAAATAAGTCATGTGGGTAGGCCTACTCAAATTAACCGGTAGAGCAAGCTGAACATGAAGAGGCCTATTTCGAACACTTTTTATATTTGGCACTTTTGGGGCAAACACTTATTTCACCCTGAAAATCGCGTTTGAAAATCGCAAAAAGTGCAAAAAATCAGAGTTTTCCTTTATACTTTTAATGTGTTAACTATTACTTAGGACATTCACTTTTCCCCTCTGGCACTTTTTCGGCAACTGCCGTTTTTACCCAGAAAATCAGGTTTGAAAAATCATAAAAAACTGCAACGTGGGGAAAATGCCCGGCCCACTCCTCTACCAAACTAAATATAGCCTAATCTAACCTAACCTAACCCATGCTTAACCCTCCGAGTGTTATGCGTCGTAAAAGCGACTCATAACACACCCGCCGTGGTATTATGCGTCGCTTTTGCGACTCACAAACACTGTTTACGGAGAAGGCTCTGGGACTGACTGAATCGGATTGAACTGGATCGAGTTAGGTATCGTTCTTTTCGGCAGATTCTAAGCTTTCTTCCGATGTCTGTTTCTAGACGCTTTTCATTTTCGAGCCGATCATAATTGTAGCAGACAGATGACGTTTGTATTGTAAACAACTTTGTTTATTTACATCGGTGACTTGTGTGTTTTTGTACGTTTATCGTCGTTTTTAGTGGTAAAAATGGACAGTAGTGATATTCTTAATGCACTAGAAGATATATGTGATGTTGAAGGACTGGTTGATGATCCGGAAGAAGTAGGTAGTGACATTGATGTTAATTATCCTTCAGATTCTGAGCTATCATTGCTAGACTTTTTGTCAGGGAGTGGAGAAGAGTACCTATGTGCCCGATTTTAACGATTTAGAGACGTCAGTAATTGACGAAAATCTTGAAATTGAAAATGAACAACAAGGCCCTAATGCAGGTGCCTAGGCTAATACTGTCTTCCTAGTTTTGTTCAGTCCAGTGAATGGCTAGATGTTTAATCTCTATCTATTTCCCACTGTACTGAACAGAACGCAAGGGATTATTACAGATGTATCCTTAAATATATCCCTAAATTAGGCTTCTACCCCTATAATAGGCTTCTATCCCCTATAATAGGCTTCTACCCCTAAATTAGGGTTAGGGGTAGTTTCTAGAGGGTATCTTCTAGAGGTTTTCTTCTTATCTTGAGTCCTTAATATGAAATAGGAGACTTATTAGAGTGATTTTGAGAATTTAAAAGGTAATAGGGTGTTACCTGGGTTGATCTCTACCCCTGACTACCTCTAGTTTCTAGTGTTACTCCCCTTATGGTAGATATAGGAAATTGATTAGTTTCTTGGAATAAGATTAAGTGGATTACCACCCTAGAGAGGATATTAGGTAATCAAGTAGTCTAAACCCTATGGAAATTATTATGTATTAAACTAGCTAGTAAGGCATTTGTCTGTAAGGTACCGGTAATAAATTTGCCAAACATCTGTCATGATCACTTGATTAGTATTCCATAGCTAACTGATTATTTATTTAGTGAACAGTCTACTATTTTAAGATTTTAGTATTTAACCCTCCGAGTGTTATTTGTCGATGCTTCGACACATAACACACTTTGTGTAGTGTTTTGTGTCGATGCATCGACTCACAAACACTGTTTACGGCGAAGGCTCTATGACTGACAAAATCGGATTGAACTGGATCGAGTTAGGTATCGTTTTATTTGTCAGATTCAGAGCTTTCTCCGGAGGTCTGTCTCTAAGCGCTTTTCATTTTAGTTCCGAAAATATTGTAGCAGACAGCTGACGTGCGTATTTGTAAACAGCTTGGTTAACCTCGCACCGATGACTGATGTGTTTTATTACGTTTATCATTGTTTTACATCTTACATCTTACATAGGTCCTCTTCATCGCAGTCGTAGAGACTGGAGAATCGTCATTTAAGTTACTTCTTTCTCTTCTTATAATAGCCCTATGTGGTAGTTATGATCTTCATAGAACTCTTTGATGGTGTAGTATGGTCTTTGAAGGAGGTAGTTTTTTAGTGCAGCAGTAATTTTTTTTTGTGTTGTTTATTGTTTTGAGATGTTGTGGAAGTAGGTTGTAGAGCTTTGCTCCCATTGCAGTGGGGGTTTTGTTGGTTTTGTTTAATCTGTTTTGTTGGGTGTTATAGTTCGATTTTGATCTGGTGTTGTGGTTGTGGCATGTTTGTCTGGTTTCAGGCGGATTTTGTTTTATGAAATTGATGGTGTCAAATATGTATTGAGAGGTTAGGGTTAGGATTTGGTGTTTTATGAAAAGGGGCTTGCAGTGTTTGAGGTAGTGGGATTGGTCTATGATTCTGGCTGCTTTCTTTTGAATGATTTGTATTTCTTTTAATAGGCTTTCGCTGGCACTTCCCCATGCAATTGAGCCGAATTTCAGGTGTGAAGAGAAGATTCCATGGTAAGCCATCTTAGTAGTTTCTTCGTTGGTGATTTCCCTGATTCTTCTGAGGGCATAGATAGCTGATGAGAGTTTTCGCTGGAGCCTTTCCAAGTGGGGGTGCCAGTTTAGTTGCTGGTCAAGAATGATGCCCAAGGAATTTGGTTGTGGGGTTGGCATTTGTTGTGTCTTCTTGAGTTAGAGGTTTGTTTGTTGGAGTGAATTTCAGGCAGACAGTTTTAGATTCGTTGATTCGGAGATTTAGGCTATTGCAGATTTTTTTTGCTGTGTCTATTGTTTTTTCTGTTAGATTAGGTGTTGGTATGCCTGGAACTATAATGGTCGTGTCGTCGGCAAACATTATACATGTAT